CAAGAAATAAAAAAATAAAAAATTGGAGTTTGGAAAAAGTAAGGTACTATGAGTAAGTAAGCCAATGTGCTCCTAAGAAAATAACAGTTAGGGCAATTATGTGGTAAAGTTATAAGAAATCCTAATTATCACATATTTACACATAAAAAATAAAGAATCATAGATTTATTTTCAGACAGGTTATCTGTAATGCCTCCGTGTTGTCACTTTTAAAATAGTTGCGCTAGAACTATTGTGGATAATTTCATTTTGAGGACAGGTAGATCCTATTGGTCATAATTAGATTTTTAACTAACAGTGCCAGACATCAGGGCACATTGTTAGACTTGCAAGTTCATTCCATAACAATTTCTCAATGTACCCATCATCCATTACTTTCTACCGAGTCTTAAACACCCTTCAGAGGATGAGAGGGATCCCTGAACAATATTTAATCATTCTACGCACCCACTCTGTGCAGCTGGCTGGCCTAGAACAAGAACGTTCTCGCTGGCGGGTAGAGAAGGTCCAGTTACAGCAGAGTGTCCAGGAGAACCGGGACCGTGTGGAGAAGCTGCAGGGATACTGGATGGAGGCTCAGAACCTATGCCAGGCAGTGGATGAACACTTGAAGGAGACCCAAGCGCAGCATCAAGGACTTGAACGGAAGTATAGCAAGGCCAAGAGGCTCATCAAGGAGTATCAGCAGAAGTAAGTAGATTCCACCAACGATAGTCCACTTCCTGATCTTCACTCATCCACTTCCTTTCTACCTTCCACTTTAGACATGTTTCTTGATACCACTCATCACAAATATGTGTCACAGTCTAAATTAGGAACCAAATTCTATCCTTTTTTGCCAGCCAGTTACCCACTTGCATTTGGACTAGGACAACCTTCAGGAAGAAAACAGGGATGTTATTGATCTTCTGATGCACAAATGTTTCACTAATACACTAACACGGGTTACTCGTTAATTTTAACAATCTCCACTTCACCCATTCTAAACTGTTCTTGCCCGATCCTTGACATTTCTCGACCTTATCCATAATTTACATTTAAATTTTCATTGATGCTCCTAATGTCATATTTTTCAAATCCTCCCTTTATTTAACCACCTCCTCCTCATTGATTTACCTCGGCTTTATCATCTCTTGCATCCGCTGGCATACCCTCCGTCCTCACCTCCTCTTTAATTAATTAGCATCTTTCTTCTCACGCACACCCACTCACTGCTATTAGTCATCAAGCAGTTTGTCATCTCTTTAGCTATTTTCTTTCCTTATCCAACCCTGTGCTTGTGACATTCATTCTCTGACCTCATCACATTCATTCCCATCACTCACATTATATTAATATTACTAATTGAAAACATTTTATCATTACTAATAAATATTTTATCGTTTCCCATTTATTCTCCTCTAAAATCACCATAAAAAATCACAGCACAGTTTCCACAATATAACAGAGTTCTGGATCAGATAATTCAATAGGCATAGTGACATAACCTCTCTCTCGTTGCCCACCGCCTTACATCCCTTTAATCACTTTCTCCTGTTTAACACAGTCTCCCTCATTTATTGACCTTTTCTCTTCTCTGCTCAGTTTTAATGCCTCATTGTGCGCTGACCTCTATTATTTAATCTTTTTGACTCATTCTATAACTGTATCTCATAATTAATCCTTGTATTGGTCCATCACCTTTCTCCCATTTTTTAAAATTATTCCCCCATCCTATATCGCTACCAACTGCTCGCACATTGGATTGGATCAATCCTTTACACATTAACACAGCATTTATCAAACGTCACAACTGTCTGTGGCTAGCTTGAGTTATAGTTACATAGCTGAAAATAGATGTGCGTCCATCAAGTTCAGCCTTTCTAACTTATGTTTTTGCCGTTGATCCAAACAAAGTTAAAAAAAATAACAAACAGTTTGAAGTGCTTCCATTTTTGCAACAAACTAGGAAAAAAAATCCTTCTTGAACCCAGAATGGCAGTCAGATCTTTCAAAAGCGGTTACTCTACAAATTAAAAATAATATCCCTGAATATTGTGGGTTTTTTTTTTGCAAATATTCATCCAGTTGCTGTTTTAACATCTATATACATCCTAAATTCAGAATCCTAATGTGTCTAAAGTCCTCCACATGCAAATTTTGTTTTAACAGTGCCCAATTTTGACCATCTCCATTTGTGTGGGACTCATATAAACTAATGCCCCGTCTCCACTGAGCGGTACGGTTCGGGTCGGTACGGTCTGGTACGCCATTTTGAGTGTTTCCATTATAAAAGTGGCCCATACAGCCGAACCAAACCGCACCATTCCTGGGCCCTCTTTAGATGTAGGTACATAGGAAATGGTAAGTTACGGTTAGGGCGGAGCTACTGGCTTCACACTATACAATCCATTGATTGGCCGACAGGAAAACATCAGTGCTCACGACAAATGGCACGCTAGGCATTTGGTCCAAACCCCGCATGCCCCCTGGCAGTCCGACTTGCAGTAGAAATGCTCACCTGAATAGGCTGGACCATTCTAACCCTTCCGAACTGTACCGACCCGAACCATACTGCTCAATGGAAATGAGGCAATAGACATAGAAACATAGAATGTGATCGCAGATAAGAACCATTCGGCCGATGAGATCCTGTAAAAGAATGTAAGGCTATTGACAGGGACCCCCTACTTTAATTCATTCTCTCCACAATGTAAGACTTGATTCAATGAAACAATATGGCCAGGCATAATAAATGTTTGGGTTGTATTGTTGAATACTGGGATATTTACTCTCTATGATCTTATTCATGTTTATTGCATTGAATTTCTAAACAGTTGTGTGGGTTATGTGGTTGATATTTCGTATTGCTCTTTATAGAGCACTATTGGTAAATGGCGCTTTGCTAGACAACCAATTTCTCAGTCTTATCTGAGATATCCAGCCAAATACCAGTGACATCGTTCATTAAACCTCACAATCGCTTCCTCTACAGAGAGCTGGACTTCACAAATAAAGAGGAAACACAAAAGAAGGAGTTGGAAGATCTGGAGAAAGCTCGTGCTGCCGAGATCCTCAGGCTACAGGAAAAGGTGCTTTTGTTACCCCCAAAAAATCTGTTAATTCTCTCATCGTTCTTATACCCTGTAATATTTGCTTCTAATGGAAACCAAAAAATATACATGAATGATTTATAAATTACTTTGATTCCACTGTTTGGCCATAAAGGCAGTTAGTTATTGCTTTGTTTATTCTATAAAGTTTGTATTAATCGAAAAACTAGATGAATGAAAATTGTAGGGATAAGAAACATTGAATAAGGAAATTTCACATGGTGCAGTCTTCACGTGCATCATTGGTAAAGCATTGAGTAGACTGGAAAATGTATCTTGTCTCATAATATGTAGAGCATTGTAGTAGCCATTCTTTGAATTGTCTTACTTATTTTTTTTTATCATACTTTCCTCTTTGTAGGTATCGGAGTTAGAGAAGAAACTCCTCACCCTTCAATGTCCAGTCTCCCCTTAGATATTATGTTATGAGAAATGGGTGCTTTCGGGCAAGTGTTGGAAGTTGCTTGTCGATGCCTGCAGGATCTATTTTACCCAGTGACAGTTCTGCAGGTACTTGCCCCTTTCTGTGGCTTATTTAATACTCCTAACATGGGGAAGGGCAAGTATACTCTCGAATGGGACCCTGTATTATGAATATGGTTCTCAATGAACAGAACTTCTGGAATGAAATGGGACTTTGGCCTGCTGTGTGGTAATGTGGCTGTGGAACCTGTCACATGGATCCTTCCTGTGTATTTTGACTGATGACCTTGTGGACTGTATCATATGAGGACTTTGCAATGACTCTGGGGCCCTAGCCTTTGGCCCTGTTTAGGCCTGAACAGTGATGGTGGCCCTGTGCTCTGGACTTTGCGTGTCTCTGTGCTGTGTATGTGCTGGTGGTCTGTGTTTGTTTATTGCCCATGACCTCCCAGGAAGGTGCCCCACTCATCCTTCTTCCCTCCAAAAAAAAAGGAAAAACCATATCCCTTCTGGGGCGCATAGTGAGTGTGTGTAAAAGGGATGTGTGTAAGCTGAATAACTGTGAGGTGTGTGTCTGTGCACAGTATTAATGGTGTGTGTAAAATGTGCATCTTTATCGTACGTGCATACATTCAGATGAGTATGTTATGCGTGTGCATTAAGGTGTATACAATTCGTGATTTGCAGTGTATGTATGTACTGTAAATGCTGTGTGTATACACATGTTCTATATACATACATACATACATACATACAAATCAACAACAAAAAATTTTCACACGCCCAGCCAAGCACATATGTGAAAGTGGTCTCCAGTGGCTTGTGCCTACCATTCCAGTTGCAGTGTATCAAAACCCAGAATGTCATTTATGGGACCAATATACACTCACATAATTCTTTAAACCAGTAATGGTAGAGAATTTGATCAATTTCAGCCCAAAATAGAAAATATGGAAAAAACTCCAATTCCTGGTACCTTCGCAATTTTACTCTGACACATTGTAATGATTGCAGGTAACATAATTATACATGTGAGCATTTCAAATATATATACTCTTTACTACTGGTAAGTATGTATACCACCTATGTATGTGTATGTGTGTATTTATATATATATTTATAACAGTGGCTTTAACAACTGAGAAATGAAGCTGTCCTGTTGGCTTTGCACCTCTCCAAGTCTGTTCCTGTGGTTCAAGGATGAAGGATGAGAGTTAATGCAATTTCAAGTGATGTATAACATAATTTTCTGAGCCAACATATACTGTTCTGTAGAACATTACATGGGAAGTGGAGAAACTGTATTTAATTCTCTTATCTTGGATCCTTATCTCCACCTCTCCCCAGGAACTAAAAGGCATGTTCTGTAAGAGCATGAGAACAAAGAAGTGTGCCACAGGAACCCCAAAACTATTTCACTAAGAGTACTCTCCATATGTAGTTACACACATACACCTATCAGTTTTGTACATAGTTGTTAAACCTTCACTGTAAAAGAATTAGCCTAACCCACAGGCACTGCAGGTCACTGCTAGTGGTGTCACTCTCAGGGCACACTGAGAGGTCACTGCTAGTGGTGTCACTCTCGGGGCACACTGAGAGGTCACTGCTAGTGGTGTCACTCACGGGGCACACTGACAGGTCACTGCTAGTGATGTCACTCTCAGGGCACACTGAGAGGTCACTGCTAGTGATGTCACTCTCGGGGCACACTGAGAGGTCACTGCTAGTGATGTCACTGCTAGTGATGTCACTCTCGGGGCACATTGAGAGGTCACTGCTAGTGATGTCACTGCTAGTGATGTCACTCTCGGGGCACATTGAGAGGTCACTGCTAGTGATGTCACTGCTAGTGATGTCACTCTCGGGGCACACTGAGAGGTCACTGCTAGTGATGTCACTCTCGGAGCACACTGAGAGGTCACTGCTAGTGATGTCACTGTCAAGGCACACTGAGAGGTCACTGCTAGTGATGTCACTGTCTGGGCACACTGAGAGGTCACTGCTAGTGATGTCACTGTCTGGACACACTGAGAGGTCATTGCTAATGATATCATTCTCGGGGCACGCAGACAGGACACTGCTAGTTATGTCACTCTCAGGGCACACTGACAGGTCACTGCTAGTGATGTCACTCTCAGGGCACACTGACAGGTCACTGATAGTGATGTCACTCTCGGGGCACACTGAGAGGTCACTGCTAGTGATGTCACTCTCGGGGCACACTGAGAGGTTACTGCTAGTGATGTCACTCTCGGGGCACGATGACAACTCACTACTAGTGGTTTCTCTCTCGAGGCACACTGAGAGGTCACTACTAGTGATGTCACTCTTGGGGCACACTGAGAGGTCACTACTAGTGATGTCTCTCTCGGGGCACACTGAGAGGTCACTGCTAGTGATATCACTCTCGGGGCACACTGAGAGGTCACTACTAGTGATGTCTCTCTCAGGGCACACTGAGAGGTCACTGCTAGTGATGTCAACTCTCTGGGCACACTGAGAGGTCACTGCTAGTGATGTCACTCTCAGGGCACACTGAGAGGTCACTGCTAGTGATGTCAACTCTCTGGGCACACTGAAAGGTCACTGCTAGTGATGTCAACTCTCTGGGCACACTGAGAGATCACTGTTAGTGATGTCACTCTTGGGGCACAGGGAGAGGTCACTGCTAGTGATGTCACTCTCGGGGAACGCTGGGAGGTCACTGCTAGTGATGTCACTGTCTGGGAACACTGAGAGATCACTGTTAGTGATGTCACTCTTGGGGCACAGGGAGAGGTCACTGCTAGTGATGTCACTCTCGGGGAATGCTGGGAGGTCACTGCTAGTGATGTCACTGTCTGGGCACACTGAGAGATCACTGTTTGTGATGTCACTCTCGGGGCACACTGAGAGGTCACTGCTAGTGATGTCACTCTCGGGGCACACTGAGAGGTCCCTGCTAGTGATGTCAACTCTCTGGGCACACTGAGAGATCACTGCTAGTGATGTCACTCTCGGGGCACAGGGAGAGGTCACTACTAGTGATGTCACTCTCGGGGAACGCTGGGAGGTCACTGCTAGTGATGTCAACTCTCTGGGCACACTGAGAGATCACTGCTAGTGATGTCACTCTCGGGGCACAGGGAGAGGTCACTACTAGTGATGTCACTCTCGGGGAACGCTGGGAGGTCACTGCTAGTGATGTCAACTCTCTGGGCACACTGAGAGATCACTGCTAGTGATGTCACTCTCGGGGCACAGGGAGAGGTCACTACTAGTGATGTCACTCTCGGGGAACGCTGGGAGGTCACTGCTAGTAATATCAACGATCTGGGCACACTGAGAGGTCACTGCTAGTGATGTCAACTCTCTGGGCACACTGAGAGGTCACTGTTAGTGATGTCACTCTCGGGGCACACTGAGAGGCTGGTGGGGTATAAAAGACCAATGCTGTTCTTGGACTGGAAGACTAAAGCCACTTACAGCTGTAAAAACCTTCCTCTTCACAGACTCACAGAAAGAGAGATGGGGGAGATGGAGAGAATGAGAGGACATCATGTGAATGCAGCTCCAATCTTGACACCTTCTTTGATAAAGGGGTTTTATTTGTATATTTTTGGAGTAGGAAATCATGGGGTGAGGAGGCCTGCCATTAGCAGTGTGAATGGTAATTAGGAGGGGGCGGAATGATACTGTGCCAAAATTAGTATCTGACTCTGTCTATTTATTTGTCTCTTACTGAACATACAGAGGGACGTATGTATAAAGATTACATTTTAAAGTGAATCAGTTGGGGGGAGGGAATCCAACATTTTGGGGATTATGGATCACAACGAATGAAAGTGACATTTGCATTAAACCAACGCTAATCATTAAAATGATTGTCACCGTGTGTCTCGTTTCTAATGTGTGTAATGTGAAGGAGTTTAGATCAGTACGCAGTGTTGTAGAGGCTGTATGTACACCTAAGAGAATACGGACAAAATGTTAACACATATGAATAAAGTGAGGATAATATGAGTGTAATGCAGCAAAACAGCAAACGAAATCACTTAAATTTTTTAACATAAAGACTGTGTGCACAATATCTCAATACTACAACAGAAACACACATTTGGTATCCTGCTAAATTCTTAAATCATCAGTAGAAATGTTTCACTGTTTTATGCAAAATTAAACAAACCAGCTACAAAAAAAAAGGAAGAGGAAACGTGACTTAGGAGATAAGAAGGTCAACAGTAAGAAACTCCCCAACATTTTGGCACAAAGCTTTTCTCAACGGGCGGTATCTTTACAATGATGTAATATTTTACATATATATATAGTTTGGACAAAGGTTGAAGTTATTGACTTTAAATGTAGCGGCAAAAGAAAGTCAGTTGTGATGTTCCGCAACCAACATACTGGTTAATCTGTGTAAGAGGCCTCACCCAGAGAAAATTGAGTTTGAGAGAAAATATTAAAGAAACCCTATCAGGTAAGGTGCACAAAAGTATTCCTGACCCTGTAGTGTTAAAACCACCATAGGTTTGGCTGAGACTGTCAAGGAGGCAGATCAGGGGCAAAGCCAGCACAAGACAAACAGTCCTGGCCAATCAGCATCTCCTCATAGAAATGAATTGAATCAATTAATCTCTGTAAGGAAAGTTGAGTGTCTCCATGCAGAGGGTGGAGACACTGACTGTCAGTCACACTGTGCAGCACTGCCCCAGGAAGCACTTCTAGTAGTCCTATGAGGAGTGGCCAGTGGAGGTATCCCTTAGCTGTAATGTAAACATAGCATTTTCTCTGAAAAGAAAGTGTTTACTGCAAAAAGCCTGCAGGGATACTCACCGGAACAAATACAATAAGCTGTAGCCCCACTCAACAACACCTGCCCATTGACAGGATATATAGAGTAATAGGAGGAGTTATAGAGAGAGGTTATATGGAGTAATAGGAGGAGTTATAGGAAGAGGTTATATGGAGTAATAGAAGGAGTTATAGAGAGAGGTTATATGGAGTAATAGGAGGAGTTATAGGGAGAGGTTATATGGAGCAATAGGATGAGTTATGGGAAGAGGTTATATGAAGTAATAGGAGGAGTTATATGGAGTAATAGGAGGAGTTATAGAGAGAGGTTATATGGGGTAAGAGGAGGAGTTATAGAGAGAGGTTATATGGAGTAATATGAGGAGTTATACAGAGAGGTTATATGGAGTAATAGGAGGAGTTATAGGGAGGGGTTATATGGAGTAATAGGAGGAGTTATAGAGAGAGGTTATATGGAGTAATAGGAGGAGTTATAGAGAGGTTATATGGATTAATAGGAGGAGTTATAGAGAGAGGTTATATGGAGTAATAGGAGGAGTTATAGGGAGAGGTTATATGGAGTAATAGGAGGAGTTATAGGGAGAGGTTATATGGAGCAATAGGATGAGTTATGGGAAGGGGTTATATGAAGTAATAGGAGGAGTTATAGACAGGTTATATGGAGTAATAGGAGGAATTATAGGGAGAGGTTATATGGAGAAATAGGAGGAGTTATAGAGAGAGGTTATATGGAGTAATAGGAGTAGTTATAGAGAGAGGTTATATGGAGTAATAGGAGGCGTTATAGAGAGAGGTTATATGGAGTAATAGGAGGAGTTATAGAGAGAGGTTATATGGAGTAATAGGAGGAGTTATAGGGAGAGGTTATATGGAGTAATAGCAGGAGTTATAGAGAGTGGTTATATGGAGTAATAGGAGGAGTTATAGAGAGAGGTTATATGGAGTAATAGGAGGAGTTATAGGGAGAGGTTATATGGAGTAATAGGATGAGTTATAGGGAGAGGTTATATGGAGTAATAGGAGGAGTTATAGGGAGAGGTACATAGGATGAGTTAATTTGTTGAGTATTCCTTTTTAGTGTTCCAAATCCAGTGGTGTAATTCTGATGTGGGACCCATGACCCATGACTGTGTCCTGGATCTATCATACCTGAATACGTCAAGAAACAATGGAAGCACCCATCCTGGAATCATACGAATCCTCAGAGAATTCACCATCACGTTTGTATTTTGTTTGCTTCACACATACACTGATCGGCCACAACATTAAAACCGACAGGTGAAGTGAATAGCATTGATTAAATCGTGGAGGCTCCACCTCGCGACTTGCAGGACTTAAAGGATCTGCTGCTAATGTCTTGGTGCCAGATACCACAGGACATGTTTAGGGGTGTTTTGGCAGCATGTGGGTGACCTACACAATATTTGGCAGGTGGTTTTAATGTTGTGACAGATCAGTGTAGCTGGCAGTCAAATTTTAACCAATTCAGTCACTAATTATTATTTTTTTCAAACGAAATCCTAACTGAAATATAATTCTGCTAACAGTAAACCAGCCGTGAGATTTGGCATCTTCGCTGGATCACAAGCAGTTTCAACCTCTCTCATTAAAACACACTGTAACACAAGAGGCAGGAGGATCTCTCATTTAAACAAACAAACTAACAAAATACAATACAAGAGACACAGGATCACTCATTAAAAAAAAGAAAGCTAATACAAGAGATCACTCATTAAAACAAACAGATGTGTATTCCCATTGTACAGCGCTACGGAACTTGCTGGCGCTATATAAATAATAAAATAATTATAATTCCCTGAACTGAGAATTGTGGCGAAATTGACAAGGGAATTAGCAAAACTACAAAAAAAAGTTGCCTATGTTTGCATTTTGCCTGTTTTAACCTGATATTTTTAATTCCCTTGTTGACTCTACTCGGTTTCCTGGTATAGTGAAAAAAAAAAACCCAAACACATGGTGTCTGTGGTTATGAACAGGTCAATTAAAGTGGTAGACCCACCCGACAGTCTTCCCCGGTACAGACACCAAAGACCATTGTCATACAGTAATTAATAATGAATGAGCATCATGCATAGTTCATGCATTAGCCAGTGTTGTGGGGCTAAATGACAAGCTAATGAATTACAGTGAGCCCTTCTCAGTGTCACAAAGTATCGGCGCTGTCCTGGGAGACATCTTTTTACTGTCAAGGGAGACTCTCAGCTGGATCCAGGATCATTCCCTGCCACTGGAGGTATGTACAAACAGACGGAGTGTTCATAGGAAATTAAATTAATAACGCGGATTCTAGAAAATAACACAGTTACATAGTTACATTAGCTGAAAAGAGACTTGCGTCCATCTAGTTCAGCCTTTCTCAGATCGGTTTTTGCTGTTGATCCAAAAGAAGGCAAAAGGAACCAATTTTGCAACGACCTAAGGAAACATTCATTCTTGACCCCAGAATGGCAATCTGATCTCCTTCGATCAAGAAGCTATTACCCCTCTAATTAAAATTGAAATCCCTGAATATTGAGCTTTTTACTAAACGTGGGACAGATGGGAATTATACTGGATGTTGGAAATGTCAGGCCAATATAACAGATCTGTAAAAATAACGAAAGAGAGTTTGAGAAAGACCTTTCTATAGGAGGTTTAGTTAACAAGAGATTTATTCACATTCTCTCCTTCCTCCTTTTGTTCCTAGTTTACTTCCAATACAGGAATACGTTTAGTATTTATAACACAGCTACACTCTATATATCTCTCTAAATCATATCTCATAATTCAATAGGAGTAGTCTATTAACCACAGTAGCTTTTTCACGCAATCACGTTTGTAGAGCACATTATTTTTGGTGGGTTGTTTATATAGGTTGTATTTTAATTAATAAAGTTTGCATTTTACCTAGATATAGTGACTTCAATTAATAGCAATTTCTTAGGAAATTCACACTCTGTTGGGTCTTTCTCAAACTCTCTTTATTGTCTAAATTAGGGTTATCCCCTGTTGAGATTACTTTAAGTAACCAATTTCGGAGACTCCTTCATATAATTTATGTGTAAGAATCTCCTCTATTTTTTATTTTTTTTATTTATCTGGAAAAATAGCTGAGCAGGAAAACATTTAAACTCGTCCAGCTTGGCCTAAAATTCCATGTTTAATTCCCATTCACGAATAATTGAGTCCATCAAATTTGGCTTTATACACAACTCGGTTATTTTGTTACTTATTCAAAAGAAGGACAAACCCATTCAAATGATTTCTGGTTCCGCAGCAAATCGAAAATAAAAACAAGCAAATTAATTCTTCCTTGGATCAGGAAAGGACTACCAAATATTTAATGAAGGCTTAATAAAGTCTTAATGACAAGACACGTATGGGGTTTTCATTGTATCAATATATGTGGAGAATTCGACAAGAGAATTATCATTTTTCGGTCATATTTGATGAGATGGAGAATTCTATCAACTTGGCTATTTTAGTGTAAGATTTACGATTCCATTGTCAATTTGCACGTTATGGTTTAGTGGACAACTCCTTCCAAGAAATTTGGTCAGTCTTACGGGATTATTTACAAAAGAGAGAATTGTTGGGATTTCAAAGGGAATTCACATAAAACATTTTTTTTAAAAATACTACATTTATGAGAACTCTTAAAACGGACAAAAGCTTGGGGAAACTCCGTAGCTTGCCCTTCGGTAAATTCCTGCTCGTGTCTCAAAATAATTTTTCCTCACTTGCGCCATTACAGAGAAACCATATTCTGAAGTATAGGTCAGTCCAGATCCTATATGCCAGCAAGTTCTCTCTGCACTAGAGATACAGCGACCCCGGGTCATTATAGCTCATGGAGAAAATTGTGCAAGGCAGCTACGCTTTCAATTCTCCCAATTTTATATTCACTTTGAATTTCTAATAATTTGTCTCTCATTCCCAATCAAATTTTTTGAGTCTAATTTTGTGGAGATTTAATTTAATAGTGGGGCTAAAATGTAAAAAAGGAGGAGTTACCAATTAAATGTGCTCGCTGGTTCCTCTGTTACCATGGTGACAGCATCACTTTTAGTGCATCACATTTTAGAATGGAATACTTTGATAAATCTATAACGCTTATGTAAAATAGCACTTTGCTTTAATGCTTCAAAATTAATTGGAATTTTTGAACAAGTCATTAAAAGACACAATAAAGATATTACCAGGGAAGGACACAATGCAATCAGTTAAGGGTTAATTGAACAGACTGGTGTGTTGGTGATACAGCAGGCTCCAGAGAAGGCACAGAAAGAGATAAAGTGGAAATTATCCGTGACTGCGCTAATCCCGGGGAAGGATTTGATTTCTGATTTGTAGGGCAGGCGTGTGACCCAGCTAAAGGCTGGACAGACAGGCAAAGGACAGGACAGACAGCAAGGTGCTCCGGTATCTCATGGACAGACGGACTGACCATGCAGAGAGAGTGGGTAAATGGCGATTGGAACATTTATTATATATAAAAGATATAGCTGTAATAGGGGCAGGAGGATATAGTTCCAAGAGAGAATGCGGAAAGGACACAGATGGACAGACAGACATTTACATTTCAGAAAGACAAGGCAGTGGGGGCTTTTATGGGGTTATATGAAGGGATGGGGCAGAAATATAATAATATATAGAATGGCAAATACAGACAGATTAAAAGATACAGAGAGGGTCAGATACAGATAGGGTTAATATAGAGAGGGGCAGATACAGAGAGGGTTAATATAGAGAGGGGGCAGATACAGATAGGGTTATTACAGAGAGGGGCAGATACAGAGAGGGTTAATATAGAGAGGGGGCAGATACAGAGAGAGTTAATATAGAGAGGGGCAGATACAGATAGGGTTATCACAGAGAGAGTTAATATAGAGAGGGGGCAGATACAGAGAGGGTTAATATGGAGAGGGGCAGATACAGATAGGGTTATTACAGAGAAGGGCAGATACAGAGGGTTAATATAGAGAGGAGCAAATACAGATAGGGTTAATGTAGAGAGGGGCAGATACAGATAGGGTTAATATAGAGAGGGTCAGATAAAGATATAGTTAATATAGTGAGGGGCTGATAAAGATAGGGTTATTACAGAGAGGGGGAGATACACATAGGGTTAAAATAGAGAGGGGCAGATAAAGATAGGGTTAATACAGAGAGGTGCAGATACGGATAGGGTTAATACGGATAGGAGCAGACTCCTAGGGTTAATACAGATAGGGTTAATACAGAGAGGGGCCGATACAGAGAGGGTTAATATAGAGAGGGGCAGATAAAGATAGGGTTAATACAGAGAGGGGCAGATACGGATAGGGTTAATACGGATAGGAGCAGATACAGATAGGGTTAATATAGAGAGGGGCAGATACAGATAGGGTTAATATAGAGAAGAGCAGATAAAGATAGGGTTAATACGGATAGGAGCAGATACAAATAGGGTTAATATAGAGAGAGGCAGATACAGAGAGGGGGCAGATACAGATAGTGTTAATATAGAGAGGGGCAGATACAAATAGGGTTAATATAGAGAGGGAGAGATACAGATCGGGTTAATATGTTGAAGGGCAAATACAGAGAGGGGCAGATACAGATAGGGTTAATACGGAGAGGAAGCAGATTCAAATAGGGTTTATATAGAGAGGGGCAGATGCAGATAGGGTTAATATGTTGAAGGGCAAATACAGATAGGGTTAATATGGAAAGGGGCAGATACAAATAGGGTTAATATAGAGAGGGGGCAGATACAGATAGAGTAAATACGGAGAGGGGAAGATACAGAGAGGGTTAATATAGAGAGGGGGCAGATAGGGTAAATACGGAGAGGGAAAGATACAGAGAGGGTTAATATAGAGATGGTTAATATAGAGAGGGGGGAGATACAGATAGGGTTAATACAGAGAGGGGCAGATACAGATAGGGTTACTATAGAGAGGAGCAGATACAGATAGGGTTAATATGGAAAGGGGCAGATACAGAAAAGGTTAATACAGAGAGGGGCAGATACAGAGTGGGGGCAGATGCTGTTGGATTTAATACAGAGAGGGGGCAGAATTCATATAGAGAAGGCACACTAATATATTTGCACTCATTCTAGAAATCTTCATTCATTGTTGTTCTGAGTATTAGTAGCTTCCTTCATCTCAGTGTGTGTCAGATAAATGCTGGGGGTATGTGTATTTAATACATATTTATTTATATATATATATATATAGCAACAGAAAGAGGGGTGATTCTACTATATAATGTAGGATTAAAACCGATTTTGTTGGTATTTTTACCATTTGTTTTGCTCAACATACCTAAGATTTGAAGGTGCGAAAGAATGCAGACTAAAGAATGTAGGTGTATCTAGTTAGCTCCACTGAACTAAGCCGGGCAATGCTAGGTTAATCTCATTGTTTTAGCTCAATAAAACCACCGGCCGGTGAAGACCGGTTGTAGTACAGGTGTTCGGTAGACCCAGGTAAGTTGTCAAAGCATTGTAAAACAGTTTAACACATTACACTGGGAGAGCGCCAGGGCACCTCTGGCACCATAATTACAACAGGGCGGTGTAGTGGTTATGGTGCTTGGAGTGTTCGTTTAAAGATTTAGCAAATTACATCATAATGCAGTGCAAATGAAGAGAAAAACGATAAACTTGGTTTAAATTGCTTTTTGAGACTGGATGTTTCCTTTGTCCACCCCCATTAGTATGTTGTTGGGCAAAATATACATTTTTATGGACTCTTGAAAATGTTTAAACAGGATTTTTTTTGACTAAACAGTTGTAGTGAGTTGAAAAATGCAACATTTGGGCTTTAAGAGCTACATTCAAAATCTGTTTAATTTGATAAATTAGAATAAATACTCCTATTAAGTAAAATACCCTGCTACCAAATTCATGAAAAGTTGAAGAAAAAATATTGCTATATTGTACCATAATCACTACTGTTAGCTCTCCTGTGCTAAGACCTGTGCCACCAGGCTTTCGGCTTTTAGTCTGAAGTAGTGGAGGTGGGAGGAGGCAGCTGGCTACCCCAGGTAAGAAGTCAAACCGTTTTAAAATGGTTTAACTATTTACAATGGTGACACCAAAGCACTCCTGGCACCTTCACTACTACAGAATTCTGTAGTGGTTATAGTGCGTGTAGTGTCCCATTAATTGTTTGTCTGTGTGTATATGTTAAGCATTCTGATTATTATATTATCAAGCAGAATAAACATTAACAATGTTTTTGGTTGTCAAAAGGAAGCAGAAGAGGATACAGAAGACATGACTATGGTTGTCCACTTAAAACATTGCTATCTTTGAGAAGATCATGATAGTAGAGAACTGTACGAGATATCTAAGTCATGTTCCCATTGCTTGCCGTCCAGCTGTTATTTTCATCTTTGTGTGCCAACCCGTCCCAAACTTGCCCTTCTTCCTGCTTCTGCTATGACTCTTCAAACCTAGTAGAGTGTCGAGGGCAGGCTCTCCTCTCTGTACCCCACCAACTCCCCCACAGCACATGGATGCTGGACCTTCGCCACAACAACTTTACCCGTCTGGACTCTGCATCTTTCCAGGCACTGTGGTCACTCCGTATCCTCCTCCTGTCTGACAATCAGATTGAGGTGTTGTCACCAAAATCCTTCCGCTCCCTTGGCTTTCTGGAACGCTTGGACCTCTCCAATAATCTCATCTCAAACCTGCCCCTGGATTTCTCTAGAGGTTTGGGGTCACTGCGAGAGCTGAGGGTTCCTTCCAACCGCCTGTCAGTCTTGACTTATGAGAGCCTTCGTCATTTGGAAAGCCTGGAGAAATTGGATCTTAGCAGAAACTTCTTGAGTTTTGTGGAGCAAGGTGCCTTCCGTGGTCTCTCCAGGCTCCGTCACCTCCATCTACAGTCCAATCTACTTGATGCAGTAAGAGGCGGTTACTTTTTCATGCTGCAAAACCTAGAGTTGCTAGATCTTTCCGATAACAATGTCAGTAGCATTGCAGTGGAATCATTTACATCTCTGCATTCTCTCAGACTCTTGGCTCTGTCCGGGAACCAGCTAAGTCATCTTAAGTTCAAAACGTTCCTCAACCTTCAGACATCCAGTACTCACATCCAGGTATCTGGTAACCCTTGGGTTTGTGACTGTGACCTTCAGAGGGTGTTTGGCAAAATCACCAGTGTGAGACACCTGCACATAGATGACTATGACAACCTGACTTGTGCTGGGCCACCACAGCTTTCTGGAGCAGCTTTGGTTTCTGTGGACAACCAGCTGTGCGTAGCTGAGACAGCCACAGTTCTGGTGATCACCATAACCGTCCTGGTCACTGTCATCGCTGCCATTGTGATGGCCGAGAGAAACCGGAAGAAGAGTCAGGAAAAAAATTGGAATGAGCCAGATGGTCCATTTGAAACCCAGGACAAATGAGGGCAAGGGCGAACGACCCAAGTTGGACAAGGGCAAATGACCCAAGTTGGACAAGGCGAGCGACCAGAACTTGCACCAAAAAGCACTGATATATCATGGCTTAAACTGTACAACACTGTCCTATATATATTACCTGTATGATTGGTATATATTTCTAATACTCTGGGGTTTATTCACTAAGTTCTGAATTACAGCAATATAAAATCTGAATTACAAAATTGAGAAGAAAATATGTAAACAGTGTAATTTGTAAGTTTTATGAATAACAATGAGTATCTTTTTGTTTTATTCTTTACTTCCAAATAGTGTCTGGTCTGGCTTTCCAATTAGATTTAAACTTGTTGTTGTTCGTGATGTTTTATAGCGTATTTATCCCAGAAAAATCTCCATTTATGTATTTGGGTTTGTCGAAAGAATCGTTACCTTGATTATCACCTTTTTGGTTATTGATGATAAGGAATGTTACCCAGAAAATCTTAGTTTGCTAGTGTGAGGTCTGTTTTAGATTTGGTCTGTTTTAGATTTGGCTTTACACTAAATCTTTAAATCATCTATTCACTTAGTCATGTGGCTTCCACAAAAGTAAATCCATAATGGCTGCTCTATGGACTGTTGATTAATGCACTGTGCCCCCACAACAATTTAAAGATCAGGATTGGCTGAAAAAATCTGAAGCAATTACTGTTTACTAAAGAAACTGCAGATTTCGATCTTAAAGGGACACTATAGGCACCAAAACAACGTTAATTTAATTAAGCAGTTTTGGTGTATTGACCATTCCCCTGCAGTCTCAGTACACAATTATCTGCCATTTAGGGATAAATCAGATGGTTTATTCAGCCCGAGTCACACCTCCCTGCATGTGACTAACACAGCCTTCCTAAACACTTCCTGAAAATGAACCTAGATATTTTAAGTTCCTGTATTGCACAAAAATTAAATAAACAAGGTGATTTGTGCACGCAAATATCTATGGTTTACTATATATTTTCTATGGTAACCAGTATTTTGAAATTTCTTTTTCCTATATCAAATGAATAGAAAGCAAATGCACATAGTGTAATCTGTATACAATGTGTATGAATTTATGAAGGTAATCCGTAAACTCACAATTTTCAGAGCCAATTAAAAGTAGGCTCGGAACTTGTAGCGCATTTTATCTCATCAATGAGATGATAGATGGAATTTCCAGCGATCACACTTCTCAGGAACTCAGGAACTTAGTGCTGATATCAAACAGGAACTCCAGAGTCCAAGGTGAGCATTTTAAAAGGTAAATATTTATTAACAATAAGTTTAAAAAGCAACAAATATGGCACAACGCGTTTCAACCTGTAACAGATATCTTTTAAAATGAACAAACATAGCTTTATATATCATATGAGTGATTGGAAAAAACATTTACACATGTGTATAACAAACTTAATATACTCTCTCCTACTTCCAAATATGGTCCGGACCGGATAGAGACCACAATCCCAAATATGACAGTATACTCAGTCTCGGGCATTGTCCTTATCCCACCCCAATATGTTGTATCTTATAAAAGTTTTTATATTTTTTCATACTGGTTATATTTTAGCTCTTATTGTGTTTTATGATGCTGCTTTTTTAATAGACTCGTAACCACCCTTATCAGCCTGACCATGTGACACACTAAATTCCCGGGAGAACGTCACAGGAAGTTACACGCTGCCAGGAAGACAAGTACGTGATGACGCGCAACGACGGAAGTACATCACAGGAAGTGACGTATCAACGGATGCGCAGAAAATGGAATGAGAACAAAAAAGCGAACAAACATATTGGGGTGGGATAAGGACAATGCTGAGACCAGGTATACCGCCATATTGGGGATGGCGGTCTATATCCGGTCCAGACCATATTTGGAAGTGGGAGGGTCTATTAAGTTTGGTATACACGTGTAAATGTTTTTCAAATCACTCATATGATATATAAAGCCATGTTTGTTCATTTTAAAAGATATCTGCACCTGAGGAAGACCTTTTACAGGTTGAAACGCGTTGTGCCATATTTGTTGCTTTTTAACTTATTGTAAATAAATATTTACCTTTTGAAATGCTCACCTTGGACTCTGGAGTTCCTGTTTGATAGCAGCACTAAGTTCCTGAGTTCCTGAGAAGTGTGATCGCTGGAAATTCCATCTATCATCTCATTGATGAGATAAAATGTTCCACAAGTTCCGAGCCTACTTTTAATTGGCTCTGAAAAGTGTGAGTTTACTGATTACCTTCATAAATTCATACACATTGTAGACAGATTACACTATGTGTAATTTGCTTTCTATTCAGTTGATATAGGAAAAAGAAATTTCAATATACTGGTTACCAAAGAAAATATATGTGTAAGGTAAGGTAAGGTCGATATTTGCGTGCGCAAATCACCTTGTTTATTTATTTTTTTTATATCCCGTTTTTAAGTGTGAATAGTGACATTGCACTTGGTTTTTTTTTAGCAGCAGCAGAATTTTATCTTTTTAAGCGCCACTCTTTCCTTAATTTTTTACTATTTTATCCTGTATTGCACAGTCTGTTTAATCTAGAATTTATTATCTCCTGCTCTGTTAATAGCCTGCTAGACCTTTTTAGCGTCTCCTTGTGTGTGATTTAAAGTTCAATTCACAGAGTAGGAGATAAAAACTACTAAAGCAAGTTATCATCTGATTGAAATTAAACACTTTTTTTTAAAAACCATTTTATTTCATGCTGGATGTTAATCACAGCCAGATGAGGTGTATCTAGGGCTGTATAAACAGAAACAAAAGTGCTTTAAAACCTAAATGGCAGAGTATTGAGCAATGACACTGCAGGGACATTATTTATACCAGGGGTGCCCAAAAGGTAGATGCCCAGATGTTTTAAAACTATAGCTTCCAGGACGTTTTGTCATTCCAAAGGCATGCAAAGCATTATGTGAGTTGTAGTTCTACAACATCTGACCTACCTTTCGGGCACCCCTGATCTATACACTAAAACTGCTTCATTAAATTTGTTTTAATGTCTATAGCATCCCTTTAAGAGGAAATTTCAAGCCGACTCTTTTTCCTGATCAATTATGAGTTTAACTTTAACTCATTGTTCTCATAGTGCATTAAAATGGCCAAAGGGGAGTGGGGAAGAATACATGTCAGGAGACCGACATGAGGAGACAGGGCTAAACATTTGAATGAATAAGTATGCTTTTATTTTGTTTCATTTTCCTCTCTTTTCTCCTTTATACTTTTGTGTGTGTATTTTTAAAAAATGTTTTGGAATGTTGAATTTTGTATCATCCTATATACCACGACTTTGCCTAACTTATCCAAATGTTTATACTTCATTATATGATCTCACTGTACCTGCTACTGTCTGGAATTCCCATTGAAAAATTAATTTTTTTTTGGGAGGGGGGAGTGGGGGGGTTTTGTTTTACTGTTTACATCTTGATCTCACAATTGCGTTCTCTTATAATGTGAACAGCCTGGTTTTGGCTCACGGCCTACTTACCGGACTTAAGAAATTCATATCTCAAGTGCAGTTCATTTCTCCAAAACCCTTTATCCCCAGTATAAATAATTTTCCTTAGCTGCAAAGGCATTGGAGGATTGAGGATTGGAGTTGGGGGCTGGTCAGGGTGGGTGACGGCACAATGTTTACAGTTCATAGCTCGTTTTATTTTTGTTACTATAATGTTCTTAAGTTTATCAAAATGAGGTGTGATTATAGTATCATCTTCTTCAATATAGTAAACATGCCTACTCTCTCATAATGAATAATGCTCATTGTAAGCTATCACCAGGTTCAACAAAATCTGTCACTCCTAACAAAAAAGGTATTTTCAACAACAAGAAAAATGGGCGAAGGAGTGAACTATCTTTGAGGCGTCCATTCACCAAACCACTATATTGTATGGAATTAACCCCTTAAGGACCACAGTTCTGGAATAAAAGCTAATCATGAAATTCACACATGTCATGTGTCCTTAAGGGGTTAAAATCTGAATTGCTAAATATTGGCAAACAAATGCTGGTTTGAAAAAAAATCAGCAATTCAATTCTTGTTAGAGCTTTGGTATTTAGTTTGTTTTACGATTCACTTTTCCATATGCGACAATTTGGTGTTTAATACTTTACTGGTTCCTTGTTTCTTTGCCCCAGTGAATCCTGCTAAAGTGCTTACAGGGGGAAGTTTAGAAAACCACACACACTTACCTTTGCTGCCCCATGATGCCTGCTGTGTTTGAATGCACAATCAGGCCATCCGAGCACTTGCATGATTGGGCATACTGCGATAGTGCAGTGCCAACATAAATGGCACCAAATGGTAAATTTTGTTTAAAACCGATCAGTCATGTTTTTGGGACTTCACATATTTTGCAGACACCTGACGGCTACATCGCTACATAGTATACAATGGCCCAGGGTACAGCTGACAGGTACCCATGCCTCACAAGCCTCCCGATTTCGGAGGACAGTACCGACTCTGTTCTCACACTTTTGGGAATACCAGGGAATTGTCCCCCAAAAAACATTGTGTTTTTTAGACACACTCGCACTACATTCAGGGCTCTAGGAGCCTGCAGAGTGCACTGACTCAGTCCTCGTTGCACGGTCTGCCCTCAGTGGGTCCGCCTGCTTGATTGGCAGGCGGCCTGATGTGGATTCACACCAGACTAACCTGCCAGTAATTTGCGTTGACCCACCGCTTTCTGGTTGGATCCACCCGATTTGGGCAGATCGCGCCACTGGTCCACCGCCTTCACTACCTTCCGCTGGTGTCCTGTTCCTCAGGATGCTAACATTGGAGGTTATAGAGGTTACGGGTACCTTTTGAAGGACGGGCACGTCCCCCTTTGATGACCAGACCAGCCCCTTTGGTGGATGAGCACACCCACTTTGCCAGCTGGGCACATGCACAACTGCTCTCTTCCCTGCATATCTGCGTCGCTGGAAGATAGGCAAGAAATGTTGGCAGGTATGTCGAGCCATTGCCACTCCATTGTTAGTTATTTTTGACAGATCACCACTTTTGATTATCTTTTTCACTGCATTGAGATTTCAATGACATTTGCTGCAAAGCTAACAATTTCCTGAAGTTCCTATCTTTCTGAAATACTCAAAAGCAATATCGTCATGGTAGTCACTCTATACATCCTGCACCGGCTGTCACAAGTCTGCCAGGCTATTGACTTACAAGATCTCACAAGTGACAGCTCTGCTTTAACAAATAAGTCGGTGAAACATGCAGGTTCCATATGCTGTGCAATACAGTAAAAAAATTAATTAACTTTTGAAAACTCTACCATTTTATTAGTTCAAAAAGACTTCAATATGTAACATGTTTTTAAAGGGTTTCTCCAAGCCCTTTTCATAATGCCCTGTTGGCATTATTATATTTTCTATGCTTCCCCCCTAGAAAAACACTTAAAGAGCTTTTTTAAAACTATACTTTAACTTACCTTAATCCAGTGCCAGGCGGAGCTCCCTGGGGTTACCCTGACATCATGGGAGCCGCGCCAAGGTCCAATCAAAGGCTTTTCATAGAGCATGCGCCCTGAGCCGGCAAAGGAGAGGGGTATGGAATTTAGGGAGGGAGGAGGAGGATGGAGGGCGGGTATTTAAAAAAAATAACAAAGGTTATTCAAAAAAATAACAAATGTTCGGTGGTGAAAGGGATTCATTCAGGGTGGGATGGAGGGCTCTGCCTGCAAGGGAGAAGCGGTTATGTCTGTTACCAGCATTCAGTGCATAATAGAGTTCTGGGCTGCCTACGTCACATGTGAAGGGGGTGCAACTAGCCCCCAGCACACAATTAAAAATATCCCTGGTTGTGCTGAGACACTGCACATACAGACTCCTAGCACAATGACCACTTCAAAACACAGAAGTGGTCATGGTGGCTGGATTAACCCTATGAATGAAACACGTGTGAGGTTTATCGTTCTTGCCTCCTGCAAAGAGACCTGAATTTTAGAGACCAGTCATGAATTTCTGGGGTATGTAATGGTTAGACAGTGGCTTAGAGGTTTGAAATTCACAGTAGTAGTTGGAAAGGCTCTTCTGTGGTAAAAACAAAACAGCAAAAAGTTACAGTTGCAAGTGAAATCACAATTCTTTATTGATGAGAAGAAAAGAAAATACCAGCATTTCGTCTTTCAAAATTTTTTTTCATAATTCATGGAAAAAGGAAATTAGAAGAAATAAAATATTAATAATATCTAATTCTCTAAAGTTATCTTTTTTTGGGGTGGGTTTTTTTAAATGTAAACCTATCCTCTGGAGAAAAATTTGTATGCATTAAATTTTTTAAAAAAAAATCATATAAAGTGAGGTGTACAGGTCTTGTTGATCATATCTTATTGTTCAGCAGTTTCAGAAGTTGTAACAGGATTCAGCTGTGAAAACTATTATCTCATAGTCATTGTGTGTTATTGTCTATAGCTCCTCCTGCTTCCTGTCCCAGTTGTGGCGTGTGCTTCCAACATGTTACAGGACAGCAGAAATATATACGCAGCCTGTCAGGAAGGAGCTGTTGGGCTCATACTGGGAAAATACATGTAATGCAACAAAGGAGACATGAAACGAATGTACAGATGGGTTATTAAAAATTGATTACTTCTAAATCATTTAGAAGAAGACACTTCTTAAAGAAATATACTGTATATTTATTAGTGGGGAAGGTTCCTATACATGTTTAGATTATGCCCCCGCAGTATTGAAAGGGTGAAAAGTTAAGTAACCTCATCTTTATTCTAGTGCAGAGATGGTCTCCTCGCTACATGTCTGACCTGCCTCCATCAATAATGACTTGTTATTCAGTCAGATACTTCTCATAGGGAAGAATTGGGATACCCGTGTTCAGTCAGATACTTCTCATAGGGAAGAATCAGGATACCTACGTTAAGACAGATGATTCACAAAGGGAAGAATCGGGATACCTATGTTAAGTCAATGCTTCTCATAGGGAAGTATTGGGATACCCGTGTTCAATCAGATACTTCTCATAGGGAAGAATCGGGATACCTACGTTAAGACAGATGCTTCTCAAAGGGAAGTATTGGGATACCTGTGTTCAGTCAGATGCTTCTCATAGGGAAGAATCGGGATACACTTGTTCGATTAGATACTTGTCATAGGGAAATATTGGGATACCCTTGTTCAATCAGATACTTGTCATAGGGAAGTATTGGGATACCTGTGTTCAGTCAGATACTTGTCATAGGGAAGAATCGGGATACCTATGTTAAGTCAGATGCTTCTCATAGGGAAGTATTGGGATACCCGTGTTCAATCAGATACTTCTCATAGGGAAGTATTGGGATACCCGTGTTCAATCAGATACTTCTCATAGGGAAGTATTGGGATACCCGTGTTCAATCAGATACTTCTCATAGGGAAGAATCTGGATACCTGTGTTCTGTCAGATGCTTCTCATAGGGAAGAATTGTGATACCTATGTTAAGTCAGATGATTCACATAGGGAAGAATCGGGATACCTGTGTTTAGTCAGATGCTTCTCATAGGGAAGAATCGGGATACCTATGTTAAGACAGATACTTCTCACAGGGAAGTATTGGGATACCCTTGTTCAATTAGATACTTGTCATAGGGAAGTATTGGGATACGTGTGTTCAGTCAGATACTTCTCATAGGGAAGAATTGGGATACCAATGTTAAGTCAGATGCTTCTCATGGGGAAGAATCAGGATACCTGTGTTCAGTCAGATGCTTTTCACAGGAAAGTATCGGTTTACCCATGCTCAGTTATATGCTTCTCAGGAAACCCAGCACCACAGTATGACAACAATGCTACTCTAGAAAGCACTCACTTCTGCTCAAAATGAGTGAGGCAAAAAACAGGTTTGACATCTGAGAGGTGTTAAAATAAGCCACGGTGGGACATGCATGCACCCCTAAATCACTTTAAAAAAATTAAACATAGATCTGTCTATGCTCAGGGAGTAAAGGCAACAGAACAACTTCCTCATAAGTGAGTCGCTTGGCAGAGTCCTACTTTTAAGTTGAAGTGTTATACTGTTTCTGAATGGTTTGATAATAATTGGCGGTCTCTACTTCTCCTCTTCTGCATTGTGAGGAGGCAATAGTGATTGGCAGAGTCCACTGATGCTCCCAGCCTATCGCCTACAGCCCATCACGAAAAAAGGCTAGAAATGTATATATAGGTAACGCTCTCAGCCAATCACTGATGCCTCCTCTGTGTTTGGGCTGATGCTGACTAGCTCAAATAGACAAGGAGAGGGAGAGACTGTCAGTTTTTAACCAAATCGAGAATGGCTTAACATTTAAAAGTTAAGACTGTACCAAAAAACAAGGACTTTTGTCTTGGTCTATGCACATTTGAATTATTATTATTATTATTATTATGATATTTATAGAGCGCCGTCAAATTCCGCAGCGCTTTACAATGGGTGGACGAACAGACATGTAGTTGTAACCAGACAAGTTGGACACACAGGAACAGAGGGGTTGAGGGCCCTGCTCAATGAGCTTACATGCTAGAGGGATTGGGGTAAAATGACACAAAAAGGTAAGGATAGTATTAGACTAGTGACAGTTGCAGAAGAGGAATCAGTCAGGAGATATTAACAGTTTAATTGATACGCTTTTATGAAGAAGTGGGTTTTTAACGATTTTTTGAAGGAGTGGAGACTGGGTGAGCATCTAACGGAGGAGGGAAGCGAGTTCCACAGGAACGGTGCAGCCCTTGAAAAATCTTGAAGGCGAGCATCAGAGGTGGGAGTTACGGACAGAAGATAGACGTAAGTCCAGCAGATCGTAAGGGCCTAGACGGGACATACTTGTGTATAAGGGAGGATAGATAGGTGGCAGCAGCATTATGTAGAGATTTGAAAGCAAGAACCAGAATTTTAAACTGAGTTCTATATTTTATAGAAGCCAATGTAGGGACTGACAGAAGGGTGAGGCATGGGAGGTGCGTGCAGTCAGGAAGATGAGCCTCGCCGCCGCATTCATTATGGACTGTAACGGCGCAAGTTGGGAGCACGTAAGACTAAGAAGTGGATTACAGTAGTTAAGGCGAGAAAGGACAGTGGAATGGACACCTTAGTTACATCTGGCGTTAAGTAGGGGCGGATGCACGCAATGTTTTTGAGATGGAAATGAAAGGGATTGGCGATAGATTGAACATGAATTCAATGCACTCATTTTTGTAAGATGTAAGATTTTTAATTACCATATTAAAATGATGTGTACATTTTTATTATGCCAAATGTCTCTTACTGGTCTGGACAGCCACATAAATAGAGAGAGCAACACTTTCACTAGAGTCAAGAATTAGGCCATTGTGGCCTGATTGTGTTCCCCATCATGATGACCCTGTACCCACTTCGCAGGTTTGTGATATTTCTGAGCTGGATCACTTTTCTTTTTTTAATTAGACATTTTTATTTGTGAAAAAAGCAAATTATACTAAATTTATTATAAGAAATAGTGTTCAATTCATTGCTAACAATATAATATAAGACAATTCATATTGTCCTATCAAGTTCCCATTCATACTATACATTCATAGTATAATGTCCAGGGCGGTAGGAGATTAAAATTGATTTGAGATTCGTTATTTATTTATATTTGAAAGTTAGAGGTAGATCGTAGTATGAAGTTGTAAATGTTAAAATTAAGTTGACAGAAAACTTGTCCAAGGTTCCCAATATTTTTCAGATTTTTTCACTTTATCATTTATTATGAAAAAACTGCGTTCCATTTTATATTGGTATGAAATTTGATCTCTTATTTCTGACCAATTTAAATTTGTCATTTTCCATTTGCGTGCTAATACTATTTTAGTTGCAAATAGAATATGTGTTACTAAATATTCTTGTGCCTTGTTACATTGTGGGAATTCTATTCCATATAAACACATGTGGGCTAAACTTGTTATTAAAGGACCACTATAGGCACCCAGACCACTTCAGCTCAATGAAGTGGTCTGGGTGCCAGGTCCCTCTAGTTTTAACCCTGCAGCAGTAAACATAGCAGTTTCAGAGAAACGCCGCTGGAGGCACTTCCGCGATTCTCACTGTGAAAATCAGTTGGTAATGCTTTCCTATGGGCTGTTTGAATGTGTGCATGCGCATTCGGATGTGACGTCAGCAGGGGGTGGAGAGTTCCCCAGCACAGAGGGAACCCGGCACTGGAGAAAGGTAAGTGGCTGAAGGGGTTTTTTTATTTATTTTTTTCCCCTGATGTCGGGAAGTTTGAATTCAGAAGGGTTAATATTTTTGATAGGGTTTTTTTTTGATGATGATGATGATGATAAGAGAAGGAAAACAAGTCGTTTAACCAGTGAAAGTTAACATATTCCTTATGCAACAAATAGTTTTTAATTCTTAAGTATGAAAATATCTCTTTACTGGAGAGTGAATTTCTTTGTTTTAGTAAACCAGAAGACATGAATTCTCTGTCTTGTAGGATATCTGAAATTTGTTTGGATTCCCTGTAATTTTCCATGTTTGTAAATTTAAATCAGTTATATCATAAGAGAGTATTTCCATAGGGGCGTCATATGATATTTTATTTTTCAATACAAGTTTTTTCTTTAATTTAATCAGAGTAATAATCATGTTGTTTACTACTGGGTTTAACATAGGCTTATTTTTTTTCCTGTCAAATTTGACCAAAAAAATCTTTCCCGTAAGACCGTATCTTTTTTTTTTTTTTCAAAATATTACCAATCTGATTCTTTTGTTCTCAGATTCAAATTGAGAGTGAAGTGACTTAATATTACTGCTTCATGTAGGTGTAATAAATTGGGAAATGCCACTACTCTTTTAGTTCTAGTTAAGGTATCATTGGCTATTCTTGGATGTTTCCCCCAGCAAATATAATCTTTAAATAGTGCGACAATTTTACCCAGTAGATTAGCATCAACCCTTAGTGTAATAGTTTGTAATAAATAAACCATTTTTGGAAGTACATATGCATTAATTACATTTATACAGCCTAACCACGATATCTCCAATCCTTTTTGAGAGCGAAGGTATGATGTCAAAGTGTTCAGTAGCTCTGTATAATTAAACTCTACCCTACTAGATATGTTCAATTTAATCTTTATAACAAGATCATTTACATGATTTTTTTTCCCCCTGTCGAATCAATATTCGGATTTCATCAGTTCTAGATCAGTATTTGAAATAAACTTTGTTAAAATTTGAGATTATTGAATATTTTTATAATTTGAAAATGTACTGAATAGATTGAGGTAATAAGAGTATTGATCGATTTTATGTGGTCCGTCACGGACAGAAACACATCATCTGCATATAATGTTATTTTGGAATTTCGGTTTTATTTGAATACCTTGGATATTTTAATTTCCTCTAATTAAAATGGCTAATGGTTCTATTGAGAGTATATGAAACATTGGGGCCAATGGGCATCCTTGACGAGTTGCGTTTGAGATAGCTAGCCAATTTGACTAAATCATTGGCCCCACTACTTTAGCAGGTGAGTTCGTATATAATGAAATATCTTTAATTTTACCTATGAATCCAAATGTCTCAAGAACTAAATCCAAGAATGTCCAATCCAACCTTTGAGATCTTTCTGCATTATTTATGATGTTTATAATTTTACGAGAATTATCTACTGGATTTCTGTCCATGGAAAACCCCGACTGATCTCTGTGAATGATCAGCTTAATACGATTTGAAATAATTGAGCTGGATCACTTTTTATGTGTAGGTTGGAGTACAACGTCACTTGGCCGAAGGAGTGGTTTTGGTAATTTTGAGGGAGGGAGGCAATACATTTGAAAAGATGAAAGAAGTATGTGATGTAGATGGCGAAGGTGGCAGGCGCCAATGTTTTTAAACCAAAGTTGTATATAAACATGGTTTTTGAGGTAGCACTTTATAGATGTGTGGTCTTGAGCCTCAGAGTAAAAGATTTTAGGAATTTTAAGAAGAGATACTTCTACATGTCTTCCTTCCTAAAGCTTCCACCTTTGGAAGAACTGCATCTATATTCTCCAAAACAGTTCAATTAAAGTGTTCCCTAAAAAAAACCAAAAAAAAAAACCCTTTGATTGAACTGCGCAACAGTAGGTATGATGTCAGGAGACGGAGTGAAATACAAGTGCGTAAAAACCTAGATTATCTGGGAGAGAACCTAAATAGGGTTTCCCTACAATTCTCACTTTAGTAAATAACTATTCTATTTACCTCAAACTATTATTTTGAGTGTTTATTTTATATATGGTTAAAAAAAAATTGCAATCACTTTCTGAGTGTCATAATATATAGCAAACCTTTCTTATTTAATTTGTTAGATGAAGCACCTTACACAACTCAGGTCCTTATAGCTCAGAATGAAAGAAACTACTTATTCCCCTTCCAAATGATAAATAGGAGCAATGATAGAACATAAAATGGCCTTTAGGGGTTGATTCTGCTTTCAAGCATATAAATAATCCCAATTAACAAGACCATGTAATCATTATCAAAAATATTCACAAGATGGCGCTGTTGCAGATGAATTCTTAAGAAATTCACATAGTGATGCACTTGACAATGTTTCAGTAAGATTGCAATAGTATAAATTATTACAGTGGCAACATATTTGCACCTCTGCACTACATAGATATTCAGTGCACAGCAAAGAGCCTTTGGAGCTTCAAAATACCATGATGAGCAGAGACGCATGTTCTTTTCTGTACTTATTGAATAAAATTTAATGAAAGTTTTAAAACAAAAAAGTAATAATGAGATTCTTCCACTGCCCTCAACACGTCTTCCCAGATTCAGTTGGGTTGACCGAATATAAACCAGCACAAAGATAAACAAATACTATCAGGGCTACTCCTTAGCAAAGTCAACGCACTTATTCCTGTATACTGGAGACAGACTCAAACACCTTTGATGAAACAATATGTGGAAAGAGTCTAGGTTTGAGGGAACTGGAAGACCTTCATGGTCAACTCAGGGCAAGAAAAAAAAAAAATAAAGAAAATAAATTTGAGAATATGGGACCCTTGGTTACAATATTGGTTAAAGAGATAAGCAGAGGGGGATTTCCTCCACTTGTTTTTTTGCGGATATATATTGGCCATGGGGGTGATCAGTGCTCGATCCCTTCTCAAAGTAAGACATCAGTGTCTCTCACCAAGAGAGACAAATATGTCAAGAGAGACATTTCTGTTAAGCACAGAAGTACATAAATATTTTTACATTAATAATCATGGGATAAGTTTAGTTTAATGCACTCATAATTTCTTGTTTTCAGTCTTATTTTCCTCCTTCTTCATATATGAAGAACTCCTACAAAGATAAGAATATGGTTATCCAAGACCTATATACATAAGAGGTTTTTTTTTTTTTTTAAAAAGCAGTCTATTGTAAAAATTCTATACGGCCGTACTGGAGCGTCATTTAGTATATTGTAGAAACAAATACTCAATTATTAAGTATTAGGTCTTGACAAACAGATTTCAGGTTATAACAAATTCCCCAAAAAATGTTTAAAAAAAAAAATCTTAAATATGAATTTATAATAAAAGGTATACAAAAGTTTACAACCTACAGTGGAAAAAAAATTTAATGAGTCAACGTCCTAACCATTCTTCTAGTCCCAAGGGATTACCACATTGCTGTAAATTGTAGCAGAAAGTAATGGTACTGAACTTTAATTGCATGCAGTCTGAAGTGAGCAGGCTTTTTTTAGTGGTGGAGATATGTTTTAGCCTTAGGGTGTTGTAGAACTACAAGCACGAAGCTCTGCCAGGTTTACTCCCTGTGTAAAGTCACAACCTGCAATTGCATCATTTCCCTGGTAGAGGCACGCAAGCGTTACGAAAAAAAAATAAAAAATAAAAAATAAAAAAAACCACCACACACAGGTGACTACCTAATTACCTCATCTCACCTGTGGAAGCATTACTATAATGGTCAAATCATAGCCTAGCACATTGAGCTTTCCCAACACCAGCCTCAGCTTGCAAATGGCAGAATCACCATTAGACCACCAAGTTGTAATTTGACACAGACTTCTGTAACTGGTAGGACTAGAGATTAAGTCGATGCGGCAAGATAATTGGGTCTTGGACGGTAAGGAGATGGCATGAAAGTAACGAGGGACGATGATGCTTCGGCAAGTGAAATGTGGGGGGTGGGTAATGTAACTGACTTCCAGTTGAGGGGGTGACATTACCTAAATTCACATTAAATCTATGCCACCTGTTCTCTGGCTTCCATGACATTAGAGTCCTTTTCAAGGTTATAGATAAAGATTGCCAGACCTGCAACCATTTTGCCTCCAACACCATGTATACCTTCATATCAAAACCACTGTTCTGCACTATGTACAGTTCACATGGTTCAGAAAGGAAATCAGTTCATTCTTACCTCCCCGTGACTGTATGCACACACAAATTGCCCTTTACGCGATTTTAGCAGATCTTTTAGGGTCACACAAATACCTTGATAAGCATGTTAAATCTTGGTCACTATGGAACGTAAAAGAAATTTCAACACTAGCTGTGTTTTGTTTTTAACATACTACCTGTATATGGCATTTTAAGCATTGCTTTAATTTATGAGATATTCTATTTTCTGTCAAATTTATATTAACGATTTGGCAAATTAGATTATCATCCAGGTTAGTCCAAGCACAGCCAGGGCAAACAATGAGAAATGGGAAACTTGGTTTCATTTCTCCTCTCCCTATGCCGACGGTGAAGCACAAAGGACAGAGCTTAGAACAATGATTGACAGGGAGTGGAGGCACCCAGTTGCAGGATAAAGAGGTGAGGATTTCTACATTTACTTTTATTTCTGGCCCATACATCACAAGTATTGATTTGCTACCTATAAGGAGAAGTAAATATATTAAAAGTACTGGGAAATGACAAATTCCTTTAAGCTATGGTTACAAGTGTATGTAAGATACTAATGTCATGTTGTGATTTATAGGTTTAGCTTTACCTAAATATAAACGTTCATACCAAAACCAAACGTAGAAACTCATCACGAGTAATATCTACATGTCTGTGTGCCCTGCTTGATAGGATTAGACACCTAAAGCTGGAAGAATACGGCTATCCAAAAACAGGATTGATATAATCCTACAGCAGGTAGAAGTAACTCGGGAGCTCTACATGTAGGATAACTCCCATGATCCTACAGTACTTGGGCTATAAATGCTGGGGTCTAAGCTGGCCAATGCCTAGTTTAGAGGATGCGTGGCTCTCATCCTAAAGTCATTATGAATGTAACCTAGATTTTGCACTGTAGGACTTTGATGCTAAAGGTCATGCTCTAGTGGAGACTAGAGATTGGGTCTTTGTGAAGCACTAGCACACAAGTGACTCTAAAACGTCCTTAAAAAAAACAAAAAAAAAAAACGCATGGTTTCACGCACATTAAGGAAGCAATACAAACTTGTTATGGATTATGAAACTACCGCGTGTTTTAGAACAACCGTCCAATCAAAACGGATTGTTTGATGTGGTTATAAAGAGGGGAACATATTCAGACTACTGAGAAAGCTTGAATGTGTCAAAATGTTGCCCATGGTTTTTTTTGTTTTTTATTATATTTATTTAAAATCAGTGTTGAGAAATCCCATGACATCTCAGTCTGGTCCACAAGTGCTAATGCAGTTTCGTTCTTTACAAACACAACCCTTTAAAAATTAACCTGCAGACAATTTTTACTTGTTTTCTGTTTTTATTTTTTTTTTTTTTTTCTGTTTTCCTTCTTCATTATACTTTTGAAAGGCAATTTTTATAACTCTTTTACAGTCAGAGGGGGACAAGCCACGCTTCACCTGGGCCCTCTGGCAGAGAAAGAGTTGAGATTTCCACCAGCAACGGAGGAGGAGAGGAGAAAACATAACTTTTACACAAAAGAGATAAAAAATAAAACACAAGTAGGAAAGGGAGGGAAGAGAAAAAAAAAAAAATCCGATGTGGAAGAAATGCAATGCCGAAGGGTAATTCCGAATTCAAGCCGGACCGGCTAAAAAGAAACTGGAGCCCTTTGAGTCTTCTATAGCTCAGTATGCCCCTCAACCCCTTCCCTATGAAAGCCATATTAAGAATAATGGCCATTCAAGGAAAGGGTTGAGAGGAACTAGTCCGGAAATAAAAGCTACCCTTTCCCACCCCACTTCTTGTTCACCACACCCCTGTGTGTCATCCACCCCTTCTGGCTCTCGTCAGGGCTCCCACCCTGGTGGTGAGAAGAGCAGGTAGCTCAGGAGAAGGTGAATCCAACGTAGGTGCAGGGCTCAGGAGGACGTACTGGTCTCTTTCTGTGCAGGCTGGATAGGGTTTCTTTGCACCCCCTTCTGACTTTCGACATCTCTAAAATGTTTCTCAACCTGTTTTTAAGACACAGATTAAGGAAAGAATTAGAATATTACCATTTTAGAGAATCCTAAAAATTAACAAAGTATCCCGTCCATGGTTCTGTGTAGCTATACAAGTAGTTACAACTTTACACATCTATACACAGAAAAAAAGAAAAAAATAAGAGAAAAAAATGCCACATGAGCTCGTCCAGCGTATGAGCTACATGTAACACCAGACACAGACGATGGCCACCAAGCACCCTATTTTTAATATTCTGCCAGTGTTTAGAGGTTGAGAAGTCATATGCACTGCCATTCGCTAGTGGAGTGCTCAAAAAAAAAAAAAGACACTACTCTCCTCACTACACATCAGGGTCAGTGCTGCAGACCTCCAAAGCTACTCTGTCTTTAAAACAAAATGAACACAGGTGAGCAGGAGGTAAAAGAATAATTATATCACATGAGTGATTAAATGTGGGGTGGACGATTATAAAATGTTTAGCTCAAGCTACATATTTGACTAAGATTCTAGAGTAGATTGAAATTTAAGAAGGCATGTCTAATCTAGACACATGGATAAGAAAGACCATCAGTGCATGGACTACAAGACAGCTGCAAATCTGTAGAAAATATCCAGAGCCCTCAATACTTACTACTTTGCGGACATGTCCGAGAGCGCTACCCTCTTTTCCTTTGCAGTTCTCCACTTGGTAAGGAGGAGATATAATTACCTCCTCCATGACTACTATATTTTTTTCCTGCCATTTACAGTCCTTTATCCTGGAAAGAAGAGAGGGAAAACCGAAGGAATTAGTCATGTTAAAACCCAGCTGCTTGCACATAAGATCAGCACTGCACTTCACAGAACTAGGCTTAAAAACACAGACATGTAGACAATGTATATTACACTGGGTTCATATAAAGATGAATTTCAAAAACACACACCTGGCCAAATAATGTAAGGTTTTAACTGTATGGAGGAAAGAAATTTGAAAAAGACCATAACTACAATTTTTTTTTTTTTTTTTTTTTAATTAACATAGGGGTTAGATGCAAGGAGATTTGGTATTCGGCACCGCCCCCGCATTAAGACATGCTGTCAAAGTTGTGAATCCAAAAGTAGTGGTATTACTTCCCCATCTTACTTAGCTAAGGTGTAGAGATTTAGGGCTTGTTGTAGGGATTACATGACTTCCTATGGAGTGCAATATTGAATGAAAAGAGCAGTGCCTACGGTTTACAGACATTAAAATACACACACAATTGGGTACTATTCCCATTGAAGTATTTCGAGAATCAAATTGATTTTGAATATGAAAATGTTCAAAAGAAGGCTGCAAGACAAGGCTTTCAGAGGCAAGAGTGGTTATTTCCTTTACAGAGTGTAAGAAATAGTCAGGGTGACTACAATGAAAGAAGACTTCCCACTCTTAATCTTCGGCTGTAAAGGAAAATTACAAGAGATACATTTTAAACCTAGAACGTGGGGGTCAGACACGGTCAGCATCTCAATTTTTGAGAAACTTAATTTCCCCTTGAACACGATTCACTATACTCATGAATCAAATTACACAGTGCCAAAAGACGTTCTTACTAGCAATCCGTAAATAGTCACGATCCTACTCTTAAAAGGAAAATTGTAAAAAATTTTTTTTTTTTTTTTAAAGTTTAGATTGCTTCCAAGGTAGTTGTCAGGTAAGGTTTCTTATGGGCATCCACTTTCAGTGACCAGAGTGTCGAAATCAGCTGTATTCCAACCCAAGATCATGCTCACAGACCCAGCCACAGAAACATTTAAGGAACTTTTAGATCCTTTTAACTACGGCTGTCGACACATGAACATCTGTCTGCAGATCAGAGGGTGATCATGGCCTGGCCAATTTCCGACCCAAGATCATGGAAAATGTATGCCAACATTGGGCTCAAAGGGAGGGGCAGTGGAAAAATGTTAAATTTTTTTGTTTTTATTCTTATAAAAAGACAACCCAGAACAGAACCCGACAGTATTCTTTAAAAATAAAGAATGTATAAAGATCAGTACTAAAATCAGAAGCATGGAGATCTAAAGGGCATTACTGCTTTTGCACAAAAATATTTTTAAAGGGTTACGATAAGGCAAGGAATAAAATCTGTATCCCTAGTACTATAGCTCCTTCTGCCTCCTCCCTTGCGCCTCCCTCCGCAGCAGAAGGGTAAAAAAATAAAATAAAAAAAACCCTTACAGTGCCTACCCAATTCAAGCACCAATCTCCCATCGCGCTGGGTCAGCAATGCTTTCTTATGGGGATTTTACTGACACTGGATGTCCTCATGCAGAGTGCGATGCCGCCCAGCATCAATTAGGGACCAAAAGTTAGGCGACCAATTGAAAGCCACTAGAGGCAGCCTTAACCCTGCAATTAAATAATTGCGGTTTCTTTCTCAGAAGCGGCAATAATTAACATTGCAGGGTTAAGGGCACACAGAGACTGCTCCCAGACCACTTAAATGAGATGAAGTGGTCTGGTTGCCTATACCGTAATTTCTAAGTAAATAAGGGAAAATAGGAACTTGCCTGGTTTAACTTTAATCACTCAGATGTCTATTTTACAGCTGACAAATTTGTGTATTCTCAGCTGTGTATTTTATGGCCTGTGACTGACCTAAAGCACTAAGCAACCAATGGCTCAAGTTTTATTCTGTTTCATAAAGCTCTCATTACACATGTGAAAATGCCGTTTAAGACAAAACAAGCTATTCCCGCAAACATGGGCATTTTCTTTAGCATCCCCATACTCCCTCAGCAAGCCACAGTCACATTTATTTCCTGAATATTACTCAGCCAATGTGAGATCAACCTCCTTTTCTGGGGATAGCTTTGTAATACTAGTCAAATGAGAGAACAGGGATTGGTCGTTTGACAAGAAACAGGTCAACATTGCAGACTCTTATTGGTTGAACTACACTACATACTTTCAAGTCAGGAAGACATTTTGTAAATCAAGAAAGCATGGCTAAGGGGAATGATTCAGCTGTAGAAACCATTTTTTTCCAAAACTAAAAGATATTTGTATAGGGAGACAAAAATAAATAAATGTAGCATGAATATGAAGTAACAACATATCACTTACGTTGTATTGGTGTCCATAGTGTTCCATGAAAAACTACTATGATTTAAGCATTTCTAAAATCTTAACACCAAGAGCCATAGTATGATGATAGATGAACAGTTGTGAGCTGCAGGTTACATACAGAAATGGAGCACTTCTAATATTGAAGGACTACGGGAATAAGAACAGTTATAGAACCGCTATTAAAACATGACAAAGGGCATCTAGTGAGCTAGAAAGAGGGCTACATATGATTTACACAGGATCCCACAGATACGACTGCAAGGCCCATTTATAGGACCCATCACTTGAACAATCACTAACATTAGGTTTATTCACCAATCATCAAATTGCGAGCTTTAAAAAAGGAACACTTCAATAAAAAAAAAATTAAATTAAAAAAAATTCACAGTGCATAATCCCATTGAACATGAATACCTTCAAACGATATGAATGAGGAAAAGGCTCAAATGGCTTTCTGGTTGATAAATACATTGTGGAAAACGTAAACAGTGACATTTCTAAGAAAACATTTTGACAGTGTTCAGATAATAAAGGCAGCATATATGCACCAAAAAAACGCTTAATTAAAGGACCACTCTAGGCACCCAGACCACTTCAGCTTAATGAAGTGGTCTGGGTGCCAGGTCCAGCTAGTCTTAACCCATTCTTTTATAAACATAGCAGTTTCAGAGAAACTGCTATGTTTATGAATGGGTTAAGCCTTCCTCCAAAGCCTCTAGCGGCTGTCTCATTGACAGCGCTAGAGGCGCTTGCGTGCTTCTCACTGTGAAAATCACAGTGAGAGCACGCAAGCGTCCATAGGAAAGCATTGATAATGCTTTCCTATGTGACCGGCTGAATGCGCGCTCAGCTCTTGCCGCGTGTGTGCATTCAGCCGCATGGGAGGAGAAGGAGGATCGGAGGAGAGCTCCCCGCCCAGCGCTGGAAAAAGGTAAGTTTTTGCCCCTTTCCCCCCATCCAGAGCCGGGCGGGAGGGGGACCCTGAGGGTGGGGGCACCATCAGGGCAATATAGTGGTCCTTTAAGATTGGTGGTTTAGGTGATAAGAGTGAACATTTAGACAAAATGTACCAAGTGGCAACAATAGTAGCTTTGGAGAATCACTCCAGATTTGTTATTTTTGTTTAAATGTTGCAATTCAGCCCCACTATGTTAACCTTTGCCACAGATTACTTTAACCAGACTTACGTCTTGTGTATAGTCTGGAATAGTTGCTGTCCATCCACGGACACTCCAGCACTGATGGCGTACGCCTGGCTCATCTTCTCCTCCTTCTCCTGTCGAGCTCTGCTTGCAAGCTAAAAAGAAGAAAGCGAGAGTGTGAGAAGACCACAGTAGATTACTGGCAGATGTTGCAGTGTTTGTCTACAATAAAAAGTACTGTCATGCTCAAGTTTAAAGAATACAGTTTGATAATAAATGTTACATTTACACATACAAATGTTCAATATCAGTAACAGCGTTTAGCTGTAATTGCTTGTATTAGGAGCCATATGAGATGGTATAACTCATTGTATGGAAGGATTGTAGAATACAAGTTGGCACCCCACAATAACCACTGCAACATTAAATTTACCAGAGAGATCCTTAAAGGGATTCTCCAGTGCAAGGAAAACCGTTTCCTGGCACTGCAGGACCCTGTAGTGCCCCTCTCCCTCCCAAGCCCCATCCCAAGTTGCTTACTGGAACCCAGCACCGATGTCCCTCAGAGCTGGTCAGGCGCCGCCTACTCTCCTCCCCCACCGCAGGAGACCTAAATCGCATGTGCAGCATAGACCTCCCCATAGGAAAGCATTATTCAAATAATGTAATGTTTTACTCTGCATGGACGAGGAAGCTCATTATTTAATGCTTTCCTATGGGGATTTTGGCAACGCTGGAGGTCCTCAGATAGCATGAGGACATCCAGCATTGCTTAAAACACTTTTCGTATTCTAAGAAAACAGAAGTACCTCTAGTGGTTGTCTGAAAGACAGCCACTAGAGGAGGACTTACCCTGCAAGTGTAATTATTGCAGTTTTCATAAACTGCAATAATTACCTTGCAGGGTTAAAGGACCACTATAGTGCCTGGAAAACACTCGTCCCACTCCCGCCCGGCTCTGGAAGGGGGAAAGGGGTTAAATCTTACCTTTTTCCAGCGCTGGGCGGAGAGCTCTCCTCCTCGTCGGCTGAATGCGCACGCGCGGCAAGAGCTGCGCGCGCATTCAGCCGGTCACATAGGAAAGCATTCATAATGCTTTCCTATGGACGCTGGCGTGCTCTCACTGTGAAAAAAAATTAAAAAAATAAAATAATCACAGTGAGAAGCACGCAAGCGCCTCTAGCGGCTGTCAATGAGACCGCCGCTAGATGGAATGGGGGAAGGCTTAACCCATTCATAAACATAGCAGTTTCTCTGAAACTGCTAGGTTTATGAAAAAATGGGTTAAGCCTAGCTGGACCTGGCACCCAGACCACTTCATTAAGCTGAAGTGGTCTGGGTGCGTAGAGTGGTCCTTTAGGAGTAGTAGGAGTTGGCACCCAGGCCACTCCAATAGGCAGAAGTAGTCTCAGTGCCTGGAGTATCCCTTTAACTGCAAAATTAACCCAAACATTACAAGTAACAACATGTAATAAGGGTGATTTCCCTGGATTAAAATGTAATTCCTACTTAGTAGAAATGTTAGATATTCAGCTATCAAGGTTAAATAGAGACTTGAATAGAGAGGAACTGGTCTTCATAAACAGTATAATAAAAAGGTAGAGAGAAATACAAAGTCTCCTTACTGAACCCCAAACAGATACCCACAAATGTCCTTAAAAGGAATACATTCCAGGGATCTGCTGACCACCAGCTCTCTTGCTTGGGAGCTTCCAAAAGCTGGCTCATTGGCCGAGAAGGTCAGTGCACCAACAAGCTCAGCTCAGAGAGATCGTCCAACCAGATAGGAGGCATCAAGCACTGCCCACTGGACTGTGTAAAAAGTCAAGTCAGAACAGTTTGACTACTTACATGGAGTTAGGGACGCCAGGGAACTTCTGGCACCATAACCAACAGAGCTATGTAGTGGTTACGGTGCTGAATGATGCTTTAAAGCAACGGTTACACAGCCGGAGAATTTGATGTGGGATGTTCTTTTCTAAAATGCTTTTTTTTTTTTTTTTTTGAATGTTGGAATTTGTATAGCGTAACCAACTTCCCGGTGGTGTTTAACAAAAAACACATTACTTCCGCTGCACTAACTATATAAAACATTTCAAATCACATTTACTGCGATGTGAGAATGAGGAATTGTCGCTTTCATAAAAGTAACCGTTCCACTCTGAGTCGCAACAATTTTTACATAGTTACATTTAACCTTACTAAAAGCAGACATGAGCCAATCGGCTGAAACCGTGCTACCAGGAAGACAAGTCTGACTTTAAAACAAGACAAATTCCAATCCTGCCTTAAAGGACCACTATAGTGCCAGGAAAACACTCAGACAGCCACTAGAGGATTTGAGAGCTGGATTAACCTATTTATAAACATAGCAGTTTCTCTGAAACTGCTAGGTTTATAAAAAAAAAAATGGGTTAATCCTAGAGGGACCAGGCACCCAGCCCACTTCATTAAGCTGAAGTGGTCTGGGTGCCTAGAGAGGTCCTTTAAGGGCCTTTGTCTGTATTCTACCATTTACAAATGGCAAACTGCAAGGTACCTAAAAGATCACAGGGAGCGTTCAGAGAATGATCACTGCATAACATGAGTTTCTTAAAACTTGAATAACTTCTGGAGTGAGGGACACCAATAAAGAAATATAGGATAGGTGATCACTAATGCAGTCAGATGGCCCTTCTTTCCACTGTCCAGGCTAGTTAAATGAACCCTAAAGTCTGAAGAAAAAATAAAATAAAAAAATATCTCTTTCTGGACTATAGGTTCCCTTCTGTCCACCTCCCCCTTTTCTATAGGTGCCTTTAAAGCTTCGGTGACCACATGACAAATCCACCAATGTTGTAGAACTACAGCTCTCAAGATGCTGTGCATGCTTTTAGAATGACAAAGCGTCACAGAAGCTGTATTTTAACATATCTGGGGGGTGGGGGGGAACCTCTTTTATAGGCACCCCTGCTTTAAAGTTTCCTTCATCAGAGACTACCCAACTGATATCTTCGCCATCTCCTCCAATCCACTGCTCCTCAGAGAAGCAATGGATTGGAGGTATGCACATGTTGGCATCAAATGCGGATGTCAATAGCACTTGAATCCCAGACAGTATTACTCTGCATGGACGAGGAAGCTCTTCTAGTGGCTGTCACACTCTTAAATGACAAAACGACTTCACTGAGATGAAGTGGTGGTCTGGTGGACAAGGGTTTTGTTTTTCCAAGAAAAATAGTTATAGAAATAATTTGCATTTCACAGTGTATAGAAGAGCAGGATAGTAAAGTGCATTAAGAGCTACAGCAACAGGGATATGAAAGTCTTAATGCTGCTGCATGCAGACAATGTAATTAGTTGTAAATTTGGTTAAAACAAATATTGAATTCAAAGTAATTGAAGTCTTGTTTCCTTAAAAGGGTTCCACCAACACTTTCATGAGTATTAGAATAATACCCTGTTTTCATTCTATAGGATACCCACTCCCCAAAAGCAAGCTTAAGGGACGCTCTAGTCACCAGAACTAGTTTAATATAGTTCTGCGGTTGAGTGTAGTATGTCCCTGCAGGCATTTTCACGTAAACTCTGCAGTTACTAGTCAGTGTTACATTACAGCCTAGGGACACCTCCAGCGGCAGTCACTCAGACTGCCACTAGAGGTGCTTCCAGGGTCAGGACTGCACAATATGTAGCTCAGACGTTTAGAGTCTCCACGCTCTGCATTGTGCCTCTGAACGCTCTCCATAGAGTTGCATAGATTCAATAGTCTCCCATAGGAAACCATTGGATTGGCTGAGACCAGTTCTGTTGGCAGTATGCACAGATACCAGATGTAAAAATCTGTACAGAATTAACAGGCATCCCAAAACAGAGTTCTGGCCTGCCTATGTCACATGAGCTAGGGGTGCAGCACACAATTAAAAAGTATCCCTGGATGTGTAGTGTTTCAAGCAGTTTCACTGCACATCCTGACCTTTTACCATGACCCCTTCAAAGATTCAGAAGTGGTCCTGGTGGTTAAAGTAAAAAAAGAATTTGCAGCAATTTGTTTTATGGTAAAAAAAAAAGTCAGCCAATAATGGATTGGAATCCTATTCAAGATATAGGATTTGCAGGTCTGTGCAGTGATTATGGTACAAAGGGTGCCCTAGCATCTTCGCAGAGTAAACTGTTCTAAAATGCTTTGACAATTTACTTAGGTCCCCTGATACAAGACTGTGCTCAGCCAAGTGGAGCAAAACAGATTTTCTTTGCAAGATAAATAAATGCATATTGGAACCAGACATCCCCTTTAATCTTCACGTCGCCATTTGTGCTGCACTCAAATTAAAAAAAAAAAAAAACACACGTTTGTGAGTGAACTGCCATTTTTTGTTTACTATAGCTTCCATTGATTAAACTCTGAACCCAATTCTAGTAATTTGTACCATTTATCTGGTCAAGTTACTATGTGTTATTTACTAAATGGTAAGTGTTTGAGAGAGCAGCACGCACAAGTGAATATAATTTTGTGTTCGATTCACTGGATTTTGTTTTTTATCTCTAGCCATGTACCTCCTCTAGGTCATTACTAGGTACCAGTGTGCATCTACTTTTCCTTCCTTAACTTTTTCCAAAATGTGTTCCCATGAATTAAATTTTTACTCCAAGCACCATTACCACTTCCCTGATTTGAAATGCTTAATGCTCCAGGAGTCTGCATTTGCAGAAATTGACATTTTGGCTGCTGGAGGTGTAACCACTCACCCAGCACTGCCATTAACCAGTCTGGAATAAGTAAAATGTAATTTAAATTCTAGGCTGGATAGTGTCAGTTCTGTGCAAAATGTAATTCTGACGCCAACACGGAAAGCATACTGGCGTGATACAGTCAGTGGCAGCACACCCATGTCCTGCCCGCCAACGAGTGATGCAAGCCGAGAAGGATGCGGCTAAGAAGAGGACTAGGCCAGGGCGCTAAAACAGAGTTAAGGAAAAATGATACTCTAAATTATTATTATTTTTTTATTATTTATTTATTTTTTAAATAAATAAAACCAAACACTTTTGGTTGGAGTAACCCTTTGCAGTGTCAGAACTTAATGCTAAATCGCAAAGCTAGCCAGTTACTAATCTTTTTACTCCAGACAGTCAGCAATGACTACTGTAGCTTACAACTGCGTATATAATGGCCACCTTGGATCCACAATCTTCAGAGGCAGTAAAGGGCAATTCTACATTTGTCTGAGAAATTTGAACTTGCCAAAAATGTTGAGCATGTGCTTATCCATAAAATCTATCATACTGGGGAAGAAAATAAATACATTTAAAAAAGGAAGAAAAAAAAAAAATTTATGAGAAGGGACAAAAAAAAAAAAAAATACATTAAACCTTTCAAAATACCTTTGACAAAAGCCTTATTTCAAATACAGGATCTATAAAATAATATTAAATAAGAACTGAGTATGACTCAGAGTTGAAACATTTACTAAACTACAGCCTACTCTTAGTGCCTGAAGGAAATTAAACCAGATCGTTTCCCCTTCTTAAAAATACAGGAAGTGAAGTTAAGATGTTCATTGTGCTTGATGGCAAAAAGTAAACTAATTCCATGAGTTTCTCTTTCACTCTCCAGGAGGGCATTTTGAGGGGTTTTCGTGAATGTGTGTTGCCCCAGCATTTCCAGGAAGATGTAGAAGATACACTGTCTCACCATGGTAGTGCACAATACAATTAACACTACTATTCCAAAAAAAAAAAAAAAAAAAAAAAAAAAGTTATTTCCTCCTCCTGTTAAAATTGAATTGCCACCAACTAACATAACTACAGCTCATTGCAGTGGTTATGGTGTAGTCTCATCTTTTTTCAAAACAATTAAGAGTTCTCTGACAAAGCTGGGGATCTGCCGCGCACCCGAAATATGACCCATTAATAATTTGCAAGATTTCATTTCAGCATTATTAATCCAAACGGTCCACCCTATAATCGCATAGGTTGCAGGTACTGCACAATTTATGGTACGTAGCACATCCTTTAAAGGGAACAATCCTAGCACAATACCACTAAAGCAAGCATCAGTAGTTATGGTGCAAGTAATGCTTTGAAACCTGCCCCCCACCCCCACCATTGTAAGTAGCCAAACCATTTAAAAAAAATTTTTTTGATGCCTTACCCGAGGTCTGGCATGACGCCACTTGCCATGTACACTAGAACCGCCAGAGCCAGTAGCTCTCTGAGTGAAGACCAGCCGTGCAGGGCTTAGCTAATTGGCTGAGAGAGATCAGCTGCACTGCATGGCTTAGCCCAGGAAAGACAACTCCTGCTTAGGAGCTTCCAGCTCTCTGACCGACATTCTGGAGATGGACAGTGGCACCCAGCTCACCACATGTAACAAATAATACAGTTTTAAAGCATTATGCTGTAGTGGTTATGATGCCAGTAACGGTCAGTGTTTATTTTGTTTAACTTCCTGTACAAGTTGTTAGCGATATTAACCAGTAGCAAATGCAAGAATCTCAAACTTTGCCAATTATTTCAGATGTCACAGATTAAAGGGACACTGTAGTCACTATAACCACTTTGTCTCTTTGAATTGGTTATAGTGCCTGGAGTGGCCTGGCACTGTCCCTCCATTCAGTGTTGCACCATGTTTGTGCATTATGCCACAAAATAAGAGTCCCTTAGCCACCCACAGTCCGACCCTTTCTGTATGTGTAGCTAAGGCAGAGATTACACACTTCCTTGTTGTCATACCCATCAGTTTGCGCTCTGACAGGTTAAAAGCAGTCAGCTGACACTCTCAGCCAATCACAGCTGCCCATTGCCTCTCAGGGGAATACTTCCTTATTAGCCAAAGCAGCAAAGAGGGGATAGACTGCCGTGGACTCTTGTTTAGCATTAAAACATTACAACATTAAAAACTGTTTAATGCTGAAAGAAATTATGGTACCAGGGGACTCCAGACACTATAACCAGTTTAATGAGATGAAGCAGATACAATGCCTACGGTGTCCCTTTAATCTATAAATCTACACATACATACGTATAAACAAACACCCAATTTCCTTACCTTATTTATGTTTAGGCTGGCTAACGGAGGAGGAGTCTGTGTGCGGTCATTCAGTACCTCTACATCAGACACATACTGCAAGTTGAGCAGTAAAATGTCAGCGTGATTAGGTTTCCCGCTAGTGGAGGGGCATTCTGTAGAAGAAAGGTTAAGGAAAAAAAACCACAGACGCAGTTTCCTCCAGGAGGAAGATACAGCTAGGGTTGGCAAGCCATAGATCGGAAGAAACCATGCACAAAATCTAACCAGGACACAAAGTATACATTGACAGCAAAGTATTCCAATCATTTTACATATCCCAGAGAAAGCATATATAACGGTTATGGCTGAAGTTTAACATCTCTGCTATGCACGGATGTGAAAAGTGACAGAACAGATACTGGATATAGCCTCAAAACACTTGGCGCACAAGTTCAAGATGCACAGACTAGCCATTGCCATAATTAGGTCAAATGAGGCAATTTGATATAAGTAAAATATTAAGGGGCCAGTAAAGGATGACAAATTTATGCAAGACTCCCAAAATGATACCTGTGTTAATAAGACAGTCACTTTTTTTTCCCCCATGAACACATACACTCTTGTAATAACAGTGACAAGTGACCTCACCAATGTAAACCCATCTAAATAAATGTTGCCACTATAGGCAGCAATAAAGAAAGCCATGGGCTAGTGCGTAGTTTTGATGCTGAGGCAAGTGGCTTCTCTACTGCGGTCGAGGAAACAGCTTTTCTGATGCGTATGCAAGCCTCTGAAAACGACACTAGATTTCCCAACAATTATGCATGTGTGTACACAGCATTAAATAAATAGATTGGGGTTTTAAAAAAATAAAATAAAATTAAAAAAATAAGGCATTTAAAGAAAATGAATTCCTTTATCAACAGATTTCGGGTCTTGAAACTTCTAAGTTAACAAGCCGTTGTGCAGGAATGGCTGAGGTCTCCCAGCCAATCTTGCTGTTCACATAGCATTATGGAACACGCTAGTGTAATGCCCTGTAATTAGTTATAAAGCCTAATTTACAGCTTAAAAAAAAAAAAAAACTATTAATAAAATCAGCACCAAGATGCTTGAAGGACTGGAGGTGAGGTTTGGAGACGAATATTCACTCCAAGAGATGCATTAGACATGCACAGGAAAGACTATGAAATATTTACTACAAGATATTATGAGTAAGTTACTCTATTCAAGGGTTCTCTTTTAAAATTTAGATCAGGGAAGTGGAGCTAGGTAGAAAGGACATTCATCTACAAGTAACTATCTATGCACTGTAACACAGTAAAGCTTTCATATGCGTAAATGCTGTCCAGGTGTCTGAACAGTCCATTCAGTGCCCCAGGAAGTCTGTTTAGCATTAAGATTGTAAGGAGTTTTCCCAAAATACATTCTGGGAAGCTAGCTCTATACAAGTTAGATGACTAAACGAAAGGACTTTGCAAGGTAATCTCAGCCATAAAGAAACCTGCAAAGCAAGGTTTGGGAACAGGAGTGGCAGAGAGCCAACATTAACCTCTGCTTGCTTTCAAGTTTAAATGAAAAATGTGAACTGAGCAATTCTTTAAAGCTACACTGAACTGAGAGATAGAGAGATATACATACATACACACACCCACCACACACACACCAAAGTAAATAAATACAAATGTGAGTTTCTACGTAAACGACAATGCATCAAGAAGATCAGATCACTAATTTTAAACAATTAGACCATCATTAAGAAAATAAGTCAATTAAACCCCCATCTAACTATGCTCCATTTAACTCTGCCCATCAATAACTTTGGAACAAAACAGAATACAGTGAGGGCTTAAGAGGAGTTATTTATAAAAGCACCAACACACTGAAGCGTTGTACATTCGAGGAAAATGGACAGTACAGCATAGAGATGCCAATAGAAAAAGGAATAGAGGATATGTAATGAAAATTACGAAGATAGATGGCTCACGAGCTTACAGTCTCAATCCTCGACTTAAACCATTCATAACTATTTGGAGTAGTGTGATCATGCAAATAAATAGTGTTGGGCTCAGAAAAGCCGTTTAGAACAATGAGAACACATGTATACATGTGTTTTTTAAAATATCCTTGATAGAAAGAAAATACACATAACTCATTTGCAACTTAATCTATATGTCCTATCAACTGGCTTGATAATACAATCTTCAATGACTAGCCCTAATCAGCATAATCCCCTAGACACATTCCTATATTTGTGACATGAAAAGTGTAGTTTCACTGAGCGACAATGCAAACCATTTCACAATACTGTACCCATGAAACACAGGGGACACTGTGCTACTCTAACTAAAAAAATTTTTGGTAAAATACAAAAACACAGACAAGTTCTTAAACTCCTACCTAACAATAAATATATGTATTCTGCAGTACCCCATTGGAGGAAAAAATAAAATCTCCTGCTGAATACTGTAACCAGCAACTCTGCACCAAATCTCAATTTATCCATTTTATTCTAAGGTGAACTGTGAATTCTCTTCTTTTTTTTTTAACCACCAATCATAGCTTCCCCTCCCCCAGGTCACCCACACCAATCCCTCCCTATAAACAAAAATAAATATATTTTTTGAAACACATAACAGCAATTTATAGGTATATAATGGCACACCAGATTCTGGCTGGCTGAACATTGTGACCAGTGGAGATCTAAATGTGAGACATCAATGAACTAGTACAGCCCATCATATAGAGCAGGCTTCCCCAAACTCTGGTCCTCAAGATGTTGCTGAACTACAACTCCCATGATTCTCAGAATCATGGGAGTTGTAGTTCTGCAACATCTGAAATGCCAGAATTTGGGGGAGCCTGATATAGTGTAAACTCCTGTAGCTAGAGACTGGCCCTTGCTTACACCTGCACTTCCCTCTTTGTCAGAATCCACAGACCCCCATAACCACTACAGCTGTCTAACTACAGCTAAAGGTCAAACATCAATCAGCCAAGACTGCCCTCCACAGAGTGTCAGCTCCTGTGTCTAGAGAGTGGAGGGCTTAACTAATCTGTGTCTTGCTTACACCTGCATTCCCCACGCTGTCAGAATCCCCAGACCCAGCACCTTGCCCCCCCACCCCAGGCAGCCCTCCACATAGAGTGTCAGCTCCTGTGTCTAGAGAGTGGAGGGCCGAGTGTGGCTCTGGTAATCTGTGTCTTGCTTACACCTACACTCCCCACGCTGTCAGAATCCCTAGACCCAGCACCTTGCCCCCCACCCCATAGAGTGTCAGCTCCTGAGTCTAGAGAGTGTGGGGCTGAGTGTGGCTCTGGTAATCTGGGCCTTGCTTACACCTGCACTCCCCACACTGTCAGAATCCCCAGACCCAGCACCCTCCCCCCACCCCAGATAGAGTGTCAGCTCCTGTGTCTAGAGAGTGGTGGGCTGAGTGTGGCTCTGGTGATCTGGGCCTTGCTCATACCTGCACTCCCCACACTGTCAGAATCCCCAGACCCAGCACCTTGCCCCCCACCCCAGGCAGCCCTCCCCATAGAGTGTTAGCTCCTGTGTCTAGAGAGTGGAGGGCTGAGTGTGGCTCTGGTAATCTGGGCCTTGCTTACACCTGCACTCCCCACACTGTCAGAATCCCCAGACCCAGCACCTTGCCCCCTCCCCAGGCAGCCCTCCCCATAGAGTGTCAGCTCCTGTGTCTAGAGAGTGGAGGGCTGAGTGTGGTTCTGGTAATCTGGGCCTTGCTCACACCTGCACTCCCCACACTGTCAGAATCCCCAGACCCAGCACCTTGCCCCCCTCCCCCCACCCCAGGCAGCCCTCCCCATAGAGTGTCAGCTCCTGTGTCTAGAGAGTGGGGGGCTGAGTGTGGCTCTGGTAATCTGGGTCTTTCTTACACCAGCACTCCCCACATTGTCAGAATCCCCAGACCCAGCACCTCCCCCCACCCCAGGCAGCCCTCCCCATAGAGTGTCAGCTCCTGTGTCTAGAGTGGTGGGCTGAGTGTGGCTCTGGTAATCTGGGCCTTGCTTACACCTGCACTCCCCACATTGTCAGAATCCCCAGACCCAGCACCTTGCCCCCTCCCCAGGCAGCCCTCCCCATAGAGTGTCAGCTCCTGTGTCTAGAGAGTGGAGGGCTGAGTGTGGCTCTGGTAATCTGGGCCTTGCTCATACCTGCACTCCCCACATTGTCAGAATCCCCAGACCCAGCACCTTGCCCCCTCCCCCCACCCCAGGCAGCCCTCCCCATAGAGTGTCAGCTCCTGTGTCTAGAGAGTGGAGGGCTGAGTGTGGCTCTGGTAATCTGGGCCTTGCTCATACCTGCACTCCCCACATTGTCAGAATCCCCAGACCCAGCACCTTGCCCCCTCCCCCCACCCCAGGCAGCCCTCCTCTCCCCCCACACACCGCCCCATACAGGTCACGCTCCGGTGAAGGATACTGAGAGCCAGCATTTTGCTCTGATGGTCGAAGGCCACCACCTCCCCCTGCAGCCGTGTCTCTTGGCAGGTCCGGCATGAGACCTGGGAGCCGACGCTGAAGTATTCCCCCGGAGCCGCCATCTTCCTGCCGGGCTGCGTGACGTGCTTTAGCAGCAGCGACCTCAGCACGCAGCTTTAAACAGCCAGCGTTGGAACCGGGGCATTGTGGGGGAATCACCTAGGCGACTGGGGGCGTAGCCACGCCCCTCTGGCAGACACGTTCCGGCGGCCATATTGGATGGGGCAGGGTTCTATTTATGTTCCCCTACCTAGAAGCCAGGGCCGCCATCTTGATTTTAGGTCAGCCACATTGTGGAGGACATTGGCTGAATCGGCCATATTGAAACAGGGACACTTTCAATCAAATAAACTTTATTGATATATTTATGTCATAGGGCAGTACATGTCCTTCTTAGCACAGATCTGAGTACCATGTGTGTATATATATATATATAAAGAGAGAGAGAGAGAGTGTGTCATGTGTATTGCTATATGTTATTATTGACAGTCCTGCCAAGGGTTATTCACTGAAATGGGAATTCTTAGTGGCTTCTAAGAAAAAAAATAAAAATTTTGGGCAAAATACAAAATGGGAAAAGTCAGCTGTGTCTCCAGTTTGGCTGTCTGAGATTCGTTACGTATTATTATTATTATTATTTATATAGCGCCATCAGATTCCGTAGCGCTGTACAATGGGTGGACGAACAGACATGTAATTGTAACCAGACAACTGGACGTACAAGAAGAGAAAGGTGGAGGGCCCTGCTCAATGAGCTTTGAATTTCAGTTTATTGAAAAACAGCGTACGTTTCCGGTTGACGCTGTTCTGTTGCGCTATGCCGGTAATGGCAAGCCTATGGCGCACGGTCCACAATAGGTGCGCAGAGCCCTCTTTGCTGGCATGCAAGCCAAAGGTTTGCCACGGCACGGGTATTGGGCAATGCCACTTTAAGGCAGTACAGGAGCCCATCTTAGGGCACATTTGCAGGGGGGAGGAATGTCTGAGGATACTGCCACCATTAGTGAATACCGCAATTTATATTTAATATATTGCAAAACCTGCAATAGATTAAATAAAAAATATATTTATATAGTCCCAGGTGGTGGTGTGCCTGGTCTGCGTCTGTTAATCGCTCTCTTGTGGTTCAGGCACTCAGCGAGGGAGACAGATTGCAGCCATTAGGGACTGCTTAGGCAAGGAGAGCTAACGGAAGTTCCTACGTAGGGTGTAAAAACACTCTTTAAGACGCAGGGTGCACAGTACCAGGCAGGAGTCACTTGTAGTAGATATATCTGTCAAATAACTTTTATATATATATATATATATATATATATATATATATATATATATATATATATATTAAAAAAAAATTCAAAAGTAGAGTTGGGCAGTGGCACCTGGCAAAAAGTCAAACTGTTCAAAAATGGTTTAATTCCTTACAATGGGGTAGCTCCTTGCTACATTGAAGTGTAGTGGTTATGGTGCTTGGAGTGTTCCTTTATCATGGTATTTCTGTTCCACTAAAGTTTAGGCACCTATGTTTTCTACTGTATGGTAATTGCTTCAAGATATCCACACAGGAGTCCTTGTATATTTGCATATGGAAATTATATCCACACAATGGGGTCTTGTCTCCCAAATTTAATTAAATCCAATTTACTAAACTCATCACAGTAATATTTTAGTTGTGCAAATTGATCTCCACAGTTGAAGCATGTGCCATTGTGATGCGTAAATGGTTTAGTCAAAGAAACATTTAAAGGGACACTGTAGTCACCAAAACGTCTACAGCTTAATGTTGTGGTTTTGGTGTCCATAGCCTGTCCCTGTAGGCATTTTAATGTAAGCACTGCCTTTTCAGGGAAGGATGCAGAGCATGGTCAGTGACAGCCTCAACGAGACATGGCACAGCATGGGAAAAAGGTGTTTAAAATACCCTTTTTATGAGGGGTGCAATGGGGTTGGCCACCTAAATGGTGTTTTCACACTTATAGTGTCAGGAATATACATTTTTGTATTCCTGACATTATAGTGTTCCTTTAAGTTAACTACTAAATAAATAAAATACAAAGTACTGGATAATTTCATTGAGCAAAGGTACAACTAAAACAGAAAAGTTAGTCAGTGTTTAGGTGATGAACCCCACCACATTAAAGGACCACTATAGTGCCAGGAAAACATACCCGCCCGGCTCTGGAAGGGGGAAAGGGGTAAAAACTTACCTTTTTCCAGCGCTGGGCGGAGAGCTCTCCTCCTCCGATCCTCCTTCTCTCCTCCCCATCGGCTGAATGCGCACCGCGCGCACATTCAGTCAGTCACATAGGAAAGCATTATCAATGCTTTCCTATGGACGCTGGCGTGCTCTCACTGTGAAAATCACAGTGAGAAGCACCCAAGTGCCTCTAGCGGCTGTCAATGAGACAGCCGCTAGAGGAAATAGGGGAAGGCTTAACCCATTCATAAACATAGCAGTTTCTCTGAAACTGCTATGTTTATAAAAAAATGGGTTAACCCTAGCTGGACCAGGCACCCAGACCACTTCATTAAGCTGAAGTGGTCTGGGTGCCTAGAGTGGTCCTTTAAGCACTAAAGTGAGAGTATAGTGCTAAAAATATACTATAATAACTTACCCCTTAGTGCAAATTGGGGCAGTCAGTACATATGCAATGAGAAAGAACACAATAGTGCAATATAGTCTAAATACAATATAGTGGGGGGAAAAGTGGGTATAGACACGCTCACATTAAAAAGCCCATCCTCTCATCCCCGTGACCTCCAAACCTGGCCTCAGCACCAAAGCAGAGGCCTTTCCCTTGGATGCCAGTGAGAGGCAGAGATCCTTTGTTATCACTAGCCTGGCCATTATGAAAAATGCTTTAGAAAAGAAAGACTGTATTTGTAAAAATGTACGTAAGCAGCTTAGCTTGGGGGAAAGTTTAAAACCCAATAACACATTGTGCAAGTACAATTATTATAAATAGTGGTTTCTTCCCTCTATGTATGTCCTAAAACTCCTAAAATGAGTCTAAATTGCTCAAGAACACATAACAACATATAAACAGGGTCTTCATAGGACTAAATTCACATGTAAGTGCTTAGACAGATATAAAACCAAAATAAGAAAGTTTATCACAAAAATAAAAATAACAAATCTAATGAGTTTTGCGTGGAGCACCATACTTCTTGTAGGTGTACATACTGTATGTTGATAACTACCTGGGTTATCTGCAGATACTACATTTCCATAAAGGTGCTACACAGACCGAAATAGACAGGGGGGCTTTTGTTGATGTATGACCAACTTGTCTCCTTACAAATAGGTGTTTGTTTGTTGCACAGAGTTGTGTAATATATTGGCACTTTAAATGACAAATGACTCTCTTCCTTCAAATCAACTTCATCTCAATAAGGGGGTTTTGAGGTCTGGGCAGTGGAGTAACCAGAGGAACAGTTGCCCGGGGCAGAACAAAATCCTGCCCCTCTGGTTGTAAGGCTAATTCAACACATGTAAAGATTATAGTATTTGTTGATAAAGCGCATTACAATTTTCTATAAATAAACAGTTCTTAATGCAATAGAAAAAAAAATAACTGGTGATGAATTTAAAGGGACACTATAGTCACCCAAACAACTTTAGTTTAACTAAGCAGTGAAGCAGATACACACTGACACACACAGATACATACTAACTCGTACACACATAGATACATACTGAAAGACATTCACTCACTGACAGACACACTCTCGATGATAGACAGACACTCTCACTGATTTAAAACACACTCACAGACACACTCACTGACAGACACACAGACTCTCACTGATTTGAAACACAAAAAAACACTGACAGACAGCGTCGTACATAACGCAGTCGCATGGGCCGCAGCTGCGACCAGGCCCGGCACTCCAGGGGGCCCTGCGGACCCCCACGACCGGGTACCAGCTGCCACGTTTTGCGGCCCTGGCCCGCGCAGCAAACCGCCGGGGCCACATATGGAGGGGCCCATCGGGTGGCCCATGCTGTCATGGCCACCCGATGGATATGGACTATCAGGGGGCCTGGTCAGCGCTGGGCGCTTTAACAGGCTCCCTGTGATTACATCACAAGCTTGGAGGACGTGATTCCCTGGTCACTCCTCCCAGCTATCCGGACCTGCGCGGGAGGAAGCAGGAGGAGGGAATCAGAGTGGGAACTCTGACTCCCATCAGGCTGAGCCCCCAGGGAAAGTCACAAGGTAGGAAACATTTTGTATATGTATGTCTCTATATGTGTCTGTGTTTCTGTAATGTGTGTGTCTTTGTCTGTGTCTCTCTGTATGTGTGTGTCTGTGTCTCTATGTGTGTGTGTGTGTGTGTCTGTGTCTCTGTATGTATGTGTGTGTCTGTGTCTCTGTATGTGTGTGTCTGTGTCTCTGTATGTATGTGTGTGTGTGTCTGTGTCTCTGTATGTTTATGTGTCTCTCTGTATGTGTGTGTCTGTGTCTCTGTATGTATGTGTGTGTCTCTGTATGTATGTGTGTGTGTGTGTCTGTGTGTGTGTCTCTCTGTATGTGTGTGTGTCTGTGTCTCTATGTATGTGTGTTTCTGTGTCTCTGTATGTGTGTCTATGTGTATGTATGTGTGTTTGTGTGTGTCTCTGTATGTATGTGTATGAATGTTTCTGTGTGTATGTCTGTGTATATATGTGTGTGTCTGTATGTATGTGTCCAAAAGAGACAAATCTGCTTTAAAGGGACACTGTAGTCACTATAAGCATTTAATCTCTTTGAATTGGCTATAGTGCCTGGAGTGCCCTGGCACTGTCCCTCCATTCAGTGTTGCACCATGTTCGTGAAGTATGCCACAAAATAAGAGTCCCTGGCCACCCACAGTTCAGCCCCTCAGTATGTGTAGCTAAGGCAGAGATTACACACTTCCTTGTTGTCGTACCCACTCATACCGTCAGTTGGAACTCTGACAGGCTAAAAACAGTCAGCTGACACTCTTAGCCAATCACAGCTGCCCATTTCTGCTCAGGCTAATACTTCCTTATTAGCAAAAGCAGCACAGAGGGGATGGATTGCCAGGGACTCTTGTTTAGCATTAAAACATTAAAACTTTAAAAACTGTTTAATGCTGATAGAAATGATGGGACCAGAAGACTCCAGACATTATAACCAGTTTAATGAGATGAAGCAGATACAGTGCCTACGGTGTCCCTTTAAGTAGCCAGTTAAGACATGAAACTGTATCTGTGTGTAAAGTATCAACTTAAAAAATAATACAACAGAAGAGACAGTTACATTTAAACATCGCAGTACAAAAGGAACAAGAGATGTTGCAAGGAGAATTTTAAAGTTAATGTCGGCAGCACAAATAACTCATCCAATGAAAATATTAAAGACAAAATTTGACTTTTGAAATGTAAGGTAACAGCAGAATTAGTGGTGGTTGTTAATTATGTGGTGGGGCAGTCAAATTGTATTACGAATTCTTCATATGATATCTCTAAAAGCAACCAAATTAGCTTGTTATTTTGTACACTTCTTCATAGTATAGTATTGACCATCCTGCACAGAAGAAACTGACTGGTACATAATATTTAGCCAAACAAATAGCTAAGGGGATTACACCATAGAAGGGGATTTCACCATATATTATCGCACCAACCCTAGCGATGCCACTGATTATTTTTTTTATTATTATATTGTTTATTATCCCACCTAGAATAGTGATAGTAGGGTAAAACAGAGGGACAGAGAGATCTGCATCCTAAACTATATACCATGAGAAAAAAAACAAAAAACAGAGCATTGACCACGCTAACAGCTCTGCAATCAGCCCCCAAATTAACATGACAATATTTTGTGGAATTATTCCCCAGTGTTATTTTTGTTTATATAATATTGTGACATTTTTATGTGTCATTATTATGGTTCATTATATTGTTAAAAAAAAAAAAAAGATTAATATGACAATATCTGAAAAACAATAAATTACAAAATACATAAAAGAAAAAAAACAAACACATTTTTTTTTTAAATTCTTTATTTTTGTTGTGCAGGTGGGTACAAAGCATAGTCATACGCCACAACAGCGTGCATTTATATTTGAACATAGATAAGTGAAACAGTGGCATAGAGAATTTGCACATTTTTGTTTTGAAAAACATAATGATAAACTAGAAAGCAGTCGCACGTAAGGTTAATTATAGCATTTTCATTAACATATCTAAGTGTCGCATGTCCAGAGGTGTCTCCTGTTCCGCTTATCTAAAACGGTGAGGTATAGGGTTAGACAGAGATATGGCACTTGTGAAACCAAGCTAGTGTATATAAGGGGGCTGTGTGCCCCGAGAGATGTTATTAGATTTTTAGTTGGGGTTGCTGGAGATGTGGACTGTTGGGGTCCCATACATTTATGAAAGTGGGCAAATTGCAGAGATCTGCTTAGGGTGCCCGGGATAGCCCATTAAGTGTGAAGGTCAAGGATCTTTATAGTGGGTTCAGTAAGAATTAGACAGGCGCTTATGTAGAGCCCTGTTAGGCCATCTCTCTGGGTGATCGCATCTATGTGATAGGCATCAGAGCAGAGCATAAAACAAACAACAAGATTTAAACTAAAAGTAGGGCATAATGGTTATGTACTGGGGGCAAGATTCAAACCGTGTGTGTCAAGTCCTGGATCTAGAGGACAGCGTTCAGCTTTAGCCTACTGCTAGGCTCGGGAACTTGTGGGTGAAACTTGGAGTCGCACCCTTTTGCATGTCTGTGCGTCTCCACCAGCTCCCATATCTTCCACTTGCTTGCTCCTTGTCTGCCGTCATGTAGCATAGCCTTGTAACCGGTCCAGGTCCTCCGGGTCTTCTCTGTGTCGGTGAGTGGTGCTGCGGTGGGTGGCTAGTCTGGCGGTGTGATTTGGGAGCGTGGGGTCATTCCGTGCCGGATCGTTGTGCAGTGTAGCGGCGGTGGGATGGAACGGCAGGTTTGCAATGGCGCCCTGCTCGGGTGATTGTGGGTGCTGGGCGGCTGTGCGGATGTCGGTTTGCTTGATAGGAGTAGGTGAGTGATGTGCGCTTTGTAGGAGTGGAAGGCCGTGGTGAAGCATTTTGAAGCAGCATACCCTCCAGCTTCCTTCAGAATGCATCGAAATTGCCTTGTATTCGCATGAGGATATCGTGCGAGGCGTCGCTCGCATTGTCGGCACATGTTGTGTCTGCCATTTTAGGTAGGTCTCTGTTTGCTTTCATTGGCGGTATTCCTCTTCTCATCGTCTCGGGGTCGCCACCCCAGGGTGGACTGGGATCACCCCCGCCGGTCCGAGGGGGGGGACAGGGCTTGCTTGTGCGGTGAGCAGCTTTGAGGTACCTCCGGATCAGGGGAGCGTCCGCCTCGCCCGCCGCATACCAGGCCGCATTTTCGGTCGTGGGTTCAGCTGACTTCGATCGGGTCGTATGACATCCCGTCGTGTGCCAACTGTCGTAGATGGCAAGTGGGTGTCTGGGATTATTGTTTGTGTCGCTTGAATGGGCCATATTTCGCTTGTTTTGCTGTGATCGTGTGGGAAACACGACTCTCCGCCATGATGATCAGGCCCCGCCCCCCACAAACACATTTTTTTAATGTAATGAAAAATTAAGATTAATATGACAATATTTTGTGTAATTATTCCCCAGTGTTATTTTTGTTTATATAATATTGTAACATTTTTCATGTGTCATTATTATTGTTCATTATATTGTAAAAAAAAAATATATATAATAAAATAAAAAAAATGAATATGAAAATATCTGAAAAAACAATAAATTACAAAATACATGAAAGGAAAAAAAAAAAAATATTTTTTTTTTTATTGAATGAAAAAATAAATAAATGTTTCCTCTATCTGTAGTATAAATGTAGTGGGCAATGCGTAATTAATTACACTATAGACAGCCAGGCAGTGCTAGAGAGCAGCTAGCAGTACTGACTGGAGATGGCCAAGTCACATGACCAGCATCAGCTCGCGAGAGTGTATATTATACGAGGTGGGCGGGGCCAGGGCTCTAAAGGGGCGTTGCCGGTGACGTGTCCTCCAGCCGGCTTCATTGACACAGTCACTTTCTCCGTCTGACCGGTGAGCGGCTGGTGGGCGGGGCTAAGCTGAAACCATTAGCTGGCTAAGCATTGTGGGAAACGTAGTCCAGCATAGCTGGAGTTTCACAGGGTCGCCCATTACGACTTCAGCCCCTGAATAAACCTTAACTAACAGACTGCTAGCCAAGAGGTCACATTGGGCTGGTCAAGTCTGTTTGGAACTACATCTCCCATGATGCTCTACATGTCATTAGGATGACAAAGCATCATGGGAGTTGTAGTTCTAAAAAAAACTTTTTAAAAAGTCTGAGGCTCCTTTTATATAGATAGTGTGCTGATAATTTGAAAGTGAAACAACCAGGGTTTCAATCTGTAGAGTACATTTTCTGGAACTCCAAAATTAATTACAAATTTTAGGCCAAAAATTGAAGAATTAGTAAAAAAAAAAATTTTTTTTAAATCCTCCTAGTGTGCTATGTTTTCATTTTTCTGTTTTGGTCTAAAATGTGAGCTTTTTAAAAATACAAAAATCCTGATTGCACTTTAGTAGATAAATAACCCGATCTTCTTATTAACAGATAAAAAATGTGAACATTATTTGGCTACGTTGAGTAAGGGATATCGCCAGCACCCATAAAAAAAATATCTTTATGGAGATAGAATTCAGTGACAATGCACCTCGCCAGAAAGTAACTATTAAACATGTGGGTAATTGGTAAATCTGACTCTAGACAGAGCTGACACATTCTTATAATATTCATATTTATAAAGCGCCAACAGATTCCGCAACGCTGTACAATAGGTGGACTGAAGACAAGTATTTGTAGCCAGACAAGGACGCACAGGAACAGTGGGATCAAGGGCCCTGCTCAAATGAGCTTACATTCCAAGGCGAGTGGGGTAAAGTGACGCAAAAGGTAAGAGAAAAATGTATTTCATGTTCGGGAAAAATAAGTTGCTAGAAGAGTTTATAAATATTGCTATCATTCACCTTGATCCTACATTTGGTTGGCCCATTCACATGTCCAAAATTTTGCGTAATTAGATCACTTTAATCATATGAAGAGCCTGCAGTTTAACTGTCATTAACAGTTAATATATTTCCTTAATTAGGTTACTCTGATCTTTACAGAAATGACCCTCTAATACACTGGACATGTAATTGTAATTAGATCAACACCATCACAAACAGACAGGGCCCTTTAAAGAGGAACTGTCGCCTCCTAGACTATTTCTCAATCAGACGTTAGCTGTGTTACTGTTGCATCTCATAGCATATACTAGGCACTCCACATGTTGTGGACTACATCACCATTGATGCTTTTCTAATAGTATGTCTGCAAGAGCATTGCGGATAATGTAGACCACAACACCTGCAGTGCCGAATGGTTGCCGAAACCTGTAACTAGGAGGTTGTCAAATAATCAGAAAATAGAGGAATACCTGAACATTCATGCACTTATACAGCATTACATTATGGAAGAAGGTATCTAATGCACACATATGTGTGTACCCTGTGCAATTTAGGAAGACGGTCTTACTTTAAATTCAGCTGCATTATTTATACCAGAAAGTGCTTCAAGAGAAGGCTGTTCCCTTTAAGTGCATTTAACATATCATTGTCATTAGGCCGTTTAATATATTATATAAGTTTTTGTCATTAGGTCACTTAACTCGATCTTAAAGCAATGTAATAACACGTCAGTGGAAATTGAGCTTATATTATATATGTAACTGTTAAGTCACTTAGTTCCTACACTGATCTGGCCCTCCAGTGCATAAAACATGTCACAGTCATTAGGTCACTAGTCCTTAAAATCTTAAATTAGTTCTGGGATAATGGGAAAAGTCTTCCGCAGTCAAACGTCCACGCAGTAATGCCACCAATTGGGTTACCAACAGTTCCTACTCAATACTAGCGATTGGCAAAATGGCAGAGGGGATTCTGTAAAGGAGACTATTTTACCATAGTAGCAAGAAAGTGTTATAAACCAAAAGATGGTTCTCACGCCTTACACTTGCCAGAATTGGCAGAGCCATGACCTTTGTCATTGCTTTGCGGAAGCTTCCCTTAACTTGCTAAAAGTGAATGCTCCAACACTGGGAGGTATGAAACCGTGATTGATGTAGCTCCAAAAGTCGCGGTTTCAAGCACGCTGTGACATGTTGAAATGCAGTGGGGTGACCAAACTAGCTTTTAAAAATGATACCTGTATTGACAAAGCCAACATGTGCCTTGCTGGCCAACCAGTACTGTATCCACAAAAAACCAGTACCGTATCCACAAAAAAACGCTTTACCACTCAAGGATCGGTTTTGAGATACTTTTGTTCAGTTACCATACAACTTACCCAACAGAGTTTCACCCACTCGACAAAGAACCCACAAGGTGTTAAAACACTTGTGTGGTGGGCCGAGTAGAAGATCATTGAGGGATGGAGCATTTAAAACACGTGTGTGGTGGGTTGAGTAGAAGATCATTGAGGGATGGAGCATTTAAAACACTTGTGTGGTGGGTCGAATAGCATATCATTGAAGGATGGAGCATTTAAAACACTTGTGTGGTGGGTCAAGTAGAAGATCATTGAGGGATGGAGCATTTATGTTTAAAAAAGACAAGTTTGCTTTTGGATGGAGACAGTATCTAAATCCCACTCAGGTGATTGCCTCTTCGCTCAATGTATTTAATTTGCTATCAAGGTCTTCACATGTCTGTATCTAATGCCCACTCAGGTGATTGCCTGTCTGCTTATTGTATTTAATTTGATAGCGAGACCTACGCATGTCCAGAGCTCTATCAGGTTCCCTATTATTTGGACAGAAACTTGTAGATAGATAAGACTATAACAACATGCCCACTTACTCTGTGTTTGGAGACCTTCTCTGAATGTCAAATTATTTTGAAGTACATGTGTTCGGCAACCATCACACTGTGTTACCTTCTTGAAGAGCTCCTACATGAATTTATGACGGGCCTTTTTAACATGTCTGTGGTCAGGTCCCTTGAATCCAATCTCATTCGCTTTTATGTCTGTTAACGTGCTCTCCCCTTTTAGAAATGGACAAGGTACATGTTGCAGGTATTGCCGTTGCCAATGTGCTACAGACACACCTCCGCGGCTCTGAGGAATTCTGGCTGTGGGTGACTTATCTCGGGGACCCTGCCTGTGTCTTTCTTATATACTTCCCTCTGGTTTATTCCTACACGCGCAGACTCGGAGTGACTGTCCTGTGGCTGGCTTTAATTTCTGAATGGCTCAATCTTGTGTTAAAATGGTGAGGCTCACTTAATATCTTTTTTAATGTAATCTGTAACGCATTTGTTCTTGTTAATTTAATATGTTGATAGCAGATATGGTGAGTGCCCCCAGGCGATGATGTACTTATTCTACCAACCATTCATGGGTACTCCCTCTTCCTTTCTAGTCTACTTTTCTGATCTCTTTTTCCGCTAAGTTTCTCTTCTGACAACTCTTCTCTCTTTTTCAATCTTAAAGTGTTTTTTTTGTCTCTATCCCTTTTTTCTCTCATTCATCTGTAATTGTTTCTGCTTCCACTTTCATCTAGTTTTTTTTTTGTTTTTTTTACCTCCTCACTCTTTACTGTCTCCTGGAATTTTCCACCTTAACCTCTTCTCAGCAGTCACCCACCTCTGCCTTTTTGTCTGTGCTTCAGATCCACCACTGCATTTCTATCTATTCCCCCTCATCCACCACTGCATTTCTATCTATTCCCCCTCAACCACCACTGCATTTTTTATCTATTCCATCTCATCCACCACTGCCTTTGTATCTAATACCCCTCATCCACCATTGCCTTCTTATCTATTCCCCCTCATCCACTACTGCCTTTGTATCTATTCCCCCTTATCCACCACTGCCTTTGTATCTATTCCCCCTCATCCACCACTGCCTTTGTATCTATTCCCCCTCATCCACCACTGCCTTTGTATCTATTCCCCCTTATCCACCACTGCCTTTGTATCTATTCCCCCTCATCCACCACTGCCTTTGTATCTATTCCCCCTCATCCACCACTGCCTTTGTATCTATTCCCCCTTATCCACCACTGTCGTGGCCTATTCTTCCTAAAAGCATGCTGTTGTGGTTAAAGTGCCAAGTGTGCCCTAGCGCCCTCCGGAACCCATTGCGAGTCAAATCGGTTTAGAATGGTTTGATTTCTTACCTGGGATCCACCGGACATCTCCTACTTTTAAAATGCTAAAAAATAGGTTTAAAAGAAGTTTTCACGTACATTAATCCAACGCCTGGCGAAGCTCCTGGTTCTACTTGACAGCCCCCTGTTTGATGTCACTAGGACCTGTGTGGAGATTTAATCAAAGGCTTCTCCTAGACATGCTTTTGCTTGAATTTTATGAAGGGAGAAGAGAGGAAGAAAGGTAGGGAAAGGAGGAGGAAGAAGGGCGAGAGACAAAAAAAAAAAAATATTATCGGAGGGTATAGGGAGAGGGGGAGACACAAGCTTCCCCTTGGACAGAAAATGCACATAACTGAGATTAGGCAGTCTGGAACAGAGTCTGCATAAGTCACTAGGTGGGGATGTGAATTCCTGCACATCCAGACTCCTACCACCGTTACCACTTCAAAAAGCAGAAATGGTCATGGTGGTTGGAGTAATCCTTTAAGCACGATAGGGCAGGGCGCAGATAATTGGCTGAGAATGATCAGCTGACACTCTCAACCAATAAACTAACCATGCAAGGCAGGGCTTAGCTCTGTAAGGCTAACAAAAGCTCTCCATCCGACTCTCGGTCAGAAGTAGTCTAGTGGGGAGCGACTACCGGCAGACGCCAGGTACGATGTAAAACCATTCTTAAACAGTTTGAATACTTACAGTGTGCTCTTGTGGTTATGGTGCATGGAGTGTTCTTTTAATCACTTATGTCCCTTGTGTTTTGTGCTCTTATCTTTTCTTCCTTACCCACCTGTGTTCCTGCTCACAATCCTCAGCCAACATTTATATGATGTGGCAAATTATCCGAACTATTTAGTTGAAAAGGCATACTTATTTTTTATTCCCTCCCCCACCCTCTTTTGATAACAAATGAATATGTAAAATGTTGATTTAAATGGTTTTAAATAGTCAGAAGAGTCCAGCTTGGTATTTAAGTGTCAGAGTTACCCTCTCCAATATCCCCTCCCCTGGTGATATTTTGATATTGGGGTGTTGGGAAGAGTGAGAATTGAGGCATACTTCCCCACTGGCTGCTTCTCATGCCTCTATCTTCCAGTATATCTTTAGGAAAGACCACAGGATTCTAAATAAGTAATGAGATAATCTGTCTGTCTATCTGTCCTCAAGAACTGTGAACTTTTTTTCTGGTAGGTGCATACAGAATTTCATAATAATTGTGGAAAACACAGAGAAGACCGAGCTTATGGTCTAATGACAACAAATTGCATGATATATATGTCCATCTGCCATAACTTTCCCATTTTTGTCGAAGGTTCCTGTTTGGTGAACGTCCATTTTGGTGGATATTTGAATCTGGAAAAGACAGTGATGTAAAACTGAAGCAATTCTCTTCAACATGTGAGACAGGACCTGGTGAGTGTGGATATGTATCTGAAGTACAGTGGGCTGCATTATGGTTGTCCAACCTTGGCCACCTTGCTATACTTGGACTGCAATCCTCTTAGAGGAACATTCTGGGCATCAAGCCAGCTCAGATGGTCACTCCAAACTTAGTTTTTCAACTGTTTGTCTCTTACCTGATTCCTGCCAAGCCTTATCTAGTGCCAGCTGACCGGTATCCCGTTTCTTCAGAGATACAGAAGCTGGATGCCAACCCAAGCATTCATTCATTGACTGAGAACATCAGCTGAGCACTCTGAGCAAATGAGTGAAACGCTGCAAGAAATATGCACAGATTTGACATTAGTCAGCCCAGAACTATCATTCCAGACTGGCTAATGATGTGACACCTTTGGCAGCTAACCTAAATATCTCTGTGTGTGCACATATAGGCTCAATGCACTATGACCACTTCAAAACACTGATACTTTTAGAGAACAGTAACAAACCTATATTGGCTGCTTGAATTAAAGGGACACTATAGTCACCTGAACAACTTTAGCTTAATGAAGCAGTTTTGGTGTATAGAACATGCCACTGCAGCCTCACTGCTCAATCCTCTGCCATTTAGGAGTTAAATCCCTTTGTTTATGAACCCTAGTCACACCTCCCTGCATGTGACTTGCACAGCCTTCCATAAACACGTCCTGTAAAGAGAGCCCTATTTAGGCTCTCTTTATTGCAAGTTCTGGTTAATTAAGATTTTCTTATCCCCTGCTATGTTAATAGCTTGCTAGACACTGCAAGAGCCTCCTGCATGTGATTAAAGTTCAATTTAGAGATTGAGATACAATTATTTAAGGTCAATTACATCTGTTTAAAAGTGAAACCAGTTTTTGTTTTCATGCAGGCTCTGTCAATCATAGCCAGGGGAGGTGTGGCTAGGGCTGCATAAACAGAAACAAAGTGATTTAACTCCTAAATGACAGTGAATTGAGCAGTGAAATTGCAAGGGAATGATCTATACACTAAAACTGCTTTATTTAGCTAAAGTAATTTAGGTGACTATAGTGTCCCTTTAATGACTCCTGTAAAACAATATTTTATATTTAAAAAATGAATTTTAAATGTTTAATAGTGAATAAGATAGCACACCGCCATACAGAAATCCCAAGTGCTCATTGTTACTACATAGTCAAAGGAGCACTATAGGGTTAAAACCACAATCTAGCCACCCTGGTCCCCTCATGCTTCCCTAAAATTAGTGAAATCTTACTTGTATTCAAGCCTGGAGCTGCATACTTTGTCCCTGTTTCCTTTAGACCTGCCCACTGCCTGCTGACATCAGCAGAAGTGGTAGCCTGATCCAATCACAGTAGGATTGGCTGAGACTGACAAAAAGGCAGATCAGGGGCAGAGCCAGCATGATTCAAACACAGCCCTGACCAATCAGCATCTCCTCATACAGATGAATTGGATCAATGAATCTCTATGAGGAAAGTTCAGTGTCTGCATGCAGAGGGAGGAGATACTGAATGTTTGGATGCATTTTAGGCAGCCATGACCCAGGAAGGATCTCTAACAGCCATCTGAGGAGTGGCCAGTGAAGTTATCACTAGGCTGTAATGTAAACACTGCATTTTCTCGCAAAAGACAGTGTTTACAGCAAAAAGCCCGAAGGTAATGATTCTACTCACCAGAACAAATTCAATAAGCTGTAGTTGTTCTGGTGACTATAGTGTCCCTTTAACTTCTGTTTACCAAAAAGAAAGCAAAAAAAAAAACCCCAAAAACTATTTTAAAGCAATTTCCAATCGTGCCACAAAATAGCAATCAAATATCCTCCTTTTCTCAAATATGGTCATTTGATTTCTCCATGGAACATTTGTTTCATAACATTTAAGGGAACACCCCAAACACCACCACTTCAGCTTCAAGATACCTAACTTCCATTTCTTTCTAATGGTATGCACTGTAAACTGGAGAAGTGTTTGTTTGGCCATTCCTTTTTACACTTCTTGGAATATATCCTCTCTGGTTTCCAGTGGATCCCAAACAGCTGGCCACTGCCACAAGGTCTTAAGCCTATGCAGTGATTTGTTGGGAATTGCCAATAATTACTGTAAATTTGTTAAATTCTATTCCCAAAATGTGTCAGCCAAATCAGCCATGACAAAAAAAAAGGCTAAAGCCCACAACTGGACTACTGAAGCCTTACATGTTTTTAAGACCTTAAAAAAAGGCTTTTTGCATAAGCTCCCATTTTGGTACACCCAGATCCCATCAGACCCTTCATACTTCAGTTAGATGCATCTAAACACGGTCTGGGTGCCATACTACGACAAAGCATCCTGAGGTTAATGTGCATTCTTGTGGTTTTATTCTTGTGGTTTTATTCCCCAGCAGAGCACAACTATGATATTGGCAATAGAGAAATTGTATCAATAATTGCTGCCTTTTAAAATGGTGTCATTTATTGGACCACAAGATGGCATCATTTATTCACTGACTACAAGTTAGTAAGTAATGCCAAGTGACTATCCTCTAGACAAGCTCTTCCTCTATCATTTCAACTTTCTGAGTGCATATCACCCAGGCACTCATAATGTCAAAGCAAATTCCCTTTCCAGACAATTTGAGACTTTGAGGAGGACGAGAGTCTACACATTGTTCCTTCTGAAAGGATAGTCACATTCACCCATTGTCTCCTCTGATATTGTGAAATACATACAAAAGAAACAATCCCTTGTCTAATAAAAATGTATGAACAAAAATATCAAAACAATTTTAGAAAAAAATAAAAGTGGTGGATGCCACAAGGTATTCAGTAGGGGGAACATGGCCTCTCAGGGAGATTTTTTGAACTCCCTACCAGTTTGTACAGTGGTAGGTGTGCTCTCTGATCCAGCACACCAGGCAAATGTGTGGTTCTCCTAATGGAATCATCAGTCCTGAATCCCAGTGAATGTTGTACAGTTTGAATGAGTGACAATAAAATTGTCAGCTCAACCAATGACAGATCCGTGTGAGCGGAGAGTTGACTTGACTTTGCCTCCCGGCCAATCACTGCCGTCATATTATCTTCATACACCATTCTCAGGGAAAATGGAGTAGATAATAGGACAGTGATTAGTTGTGAGGTGGAGTCATGTTAGCGGCTCAACTCACACTGATCTCTTATTTGCTGAGTACGTACACTGAGTGATAGAATCACTGCATGGGTGGGGAGCCAAAACCTGTCATGTGCACTTAAGTTGTGTTGGTTTCTGTGCTGCCCTCTTTTGTCTGAGTGAGATATCCAGAAAATTCAGCTGCTGGACATCCATATAGTCTACCTATTAAACAAATCAAAAACAAAAGAAGAACTTTATTATTCCTATACAGATGTAATGTGTCAAAATTCGAATTTAAAAGAACCATAATAACCGCAGACCACTGTAGTGGTTAAGGTGCCCTGGAACCACCCCACTGTAAGTAGTCAAATCATTTTAGTACAGTTTGACAGTTTACCTTGGTCCTGCCGGACGTGACAACCCCAGCTTCTGGGTTTTCTCGCTTAGAACATCCAGTTAGCAATACTGAGTTAAGCTGGGCCAGGTGGACAGTGCTCAGTGATCAGCTCTGCATTCTATTAATCTGTATTTTTTTTCTTTCTAGGAAGCCCTTCAGGACACTGCATGATCACCGGATCTGCCCTTTTGCCAGTAGTAATTTTCTTAACTAAGCAATGGTCACAAAGGTAAAGATCTCTTCCAGGTCTTTTAGTTTTTCCTTTTGTATAATGTAAAACTACTATACCACATGTCTGCACAGCAAACAGCATTATTTTACTTTATATTCTATGTCTGTATGCAGCCCAGCTGTGAACATCAGGTCCCAAAATCCCTCAACTTTAGTTTAATGATGTGTATAGATCATGCCCCTGCAGTCCCACTGCTCAATTCTCTACCATTTAAGAGTTAAAGCACTTTGTTTTTGCAGTTCTAGCCACACCTCCTCTGGCTGAAACTTACAAGCTCTCCTTACCATTTCCTATAAACAGAGATCTAATTTTTAAACTTCCTTTATTGCATAGTTTGTTTAATTTAGAATTGTGTATCTCCTGCTATTAATTTCCCTCTAGAAACAGCCCTCTGTGAGTGATTAAAGTTCAATTAAGAGAGCAGGAGATAAAAACTTCTAAAGTGGATGTGTTGCAAGCTGATAGAAAATGAAACCAGGGGTGGTGTGGCTATGGCACATAAACAAAGTAATTTATCTCCTAGATGGCAGAGAACTGAGCAGTGAGACTGCATAGGAATAATCTATAACCTGAGCTAAAGTTGTTTTGGTGCTTTAAGAAGTTTGCATTGCTGCTGTATTTGACATGGTTACTGAACAAGTGAATATGTATATTTCCAGGGGAACATATCGCTTTATTCCAATTTTTCTCTATTCTCTGCTTATGATGGGGATAGCAGTATCCAGAGTCCTTATCCTGGCACACTTTCCTCACCAAGTTGTGGCTGGTATTATTACTGGTAAGTGGTCAAAGTAACTACAATGATTTAGAGGAACATTATATCTATTCTGTAATCTATACTGTCTGTCTGAGCCTGTCCTGATAATCTGCAGTCAGGAGGTCGCTGTACATTATATATAAACCCAGCGCTGTCTGAGCCTGTCCTGATAATCTGCAGTCAGGAGGTCACTGTACATTATATATAAACCAAGCGCTGTCTGAGCCTGTCCTGATAATCTGCAATCAGGAGGTCACTGTACATTATATATAAACCCAGAGCTGTCTGAGCCCGTCCTGATAATCTGCAGTCAGGAGGTCACTGTACATTATATATAAACCCAGCGCTATCTGAGCCTGTCCTGATAATCTGCAGTCAGGAGGTCGCTGTGCATTATATATAAACCAAGCGCTGTCTGAGCCTGTCCTGATAATCTGCAATCAGGAGGTCACTGTACATTATATATAAACCCAGAGCTGTCTGAGCCCGTCCTGATAATCTGCAGTCAGGAGGTCACTGTACATTATATATAAACCCAGCGCTATCTGAGCCTGTCCTGATAATCTGCAGTCAGGAGGTCGCTGTGCATTATATATAAACCAAGCGCTGTCTGAGCCTGTCCTGATAATCTGCAATCAGGAGGTCACTGTACATTATATATAAACCCAGAGCTGTCTGAGCCCGTCCTGATAATCTGCAGTCAGGAGGTCACTGTACATTATATATAAACCCAGCGCTATCTGAGCCTGTCCTGATAATCTGCAGTCAGGAGGTCGCTGTACATTAGATAGGAACCCAGTGCTGTTTGAGCCTGTCCTGATAATATTCAGTCAGGAGGTCGCTGTAGATTATAGATAATCCCAGCGCTGTCTGAGCCTGTCCTGATAATCTGCAATCAGGAGGTCGCTGTACATTATATATAAACCCAGCCTGTCTGAGCCTGTCCTGATAATCTGCAGTCAGGAGGTCGCTGTACATTATATAAAAACCCAGCGCTGTCTGAGCCTGTCCTGATAATCTGCAGTCAGGAGGTCGCTGTACATTATATATAAACCCAGCACTGTCTGAGCCTGTCCTGATAATCTGCAGTCAGGAGGTCACTGTACATTATATATAAACCCAGCGCTGTCTGAGCCTGTCCTGATAATCTGCAGTCAGGAGGTTGCTGTACATTAGATAGAAAACCAGTGCTGTCTGAGCTTGTCCTGATAATATTCAGTCAGGATGTCGCTGTACATTATAGATAAACCCAGCACTGTCTGAGCCTGTCCTGATAATCTGCAGTCAGGAGGTCACTGTACATTATATATAAACCCAGCGCTGTCTGAGCCTGTCCTGATAATCTGCAGTCAGGAGGTCGCTGTACATTAGATAGAAAACCAGTGCTGTCTGAGCTTGTCCTGATAATCTGCAGTCAGGAGGTCGCTGTGCATTATATATAAGCCCAGCGCTGTCTGAGCCTGTCCTGATAATCTGCAGTCAGTAGTTTGCTGTACATTATATATAAACCCAGCACTGTCTGAGCCTGTCCTGATAATCTGCAGTCAGGAGGTCGCTGTACATTATATATAAACCCAGCGCTGTCTGAGCCTGTCCTGATAATCTGCAGTCATGATGTCGCTGTGCATTATATATAAACCCAGCGCTGTCTGAGCCTGTCCTGATAATCTGCAGTCAGAAGGTCGCTGTACATTATATATAAACCCAGCGCTGTCTGAGCCTGTCCTGATAATCTGCAGTCAGGAGGTCGCTGTACATTATATATAAACCCAGCGCTGTCTGAGCCTGTCCTGATAATCTGAAGTCAGCAGACATAAGTAACCTTAAGTAACCCTTTTTCGGTTTCCGCACTAGGTGTTTTCTTGGGTCAGGTGTTGGAACGTACCGTACCCAGAAATCGCAGTTTTGGCTTTTTTGCACTGGCTTCTTTGCTCCTCCTGTTTGGTGCTGTTTTTATAAACTGGGTAATGACGGTATCCGGAGTGGACCTCTCGTGGTGAGTATGTTCAGTACAAAACAAGAGGGTGAACTAAATTCAGCATGAAAGACTGGTAATATACAAATCAATCTTGCAGACATTGTAGTTGATACTTGGAATAGCTAACCAGGAGATTACAGTTAGGATAATAAAGGCAGCTTGGGATCTGCATAAAGCTTTTCAATTTAGAAAAGGTTAGACTAGGTGGGCATGCGTTTAAAGGGACACTATAGTCACAAGAACAACTACAGTTTATTGCATTTGCTCTGGTGAGTATAGTCAGTCCCTGCAGGCTTTTCCCAGAAAAAAATGCAGTGTTTACATTACAGCCTAGGGAAACCTCCAGTGGCCACTCCTCAGATTGCCACTGGAGGTGCTTCCTGGGGCAGTGGTGCACAGTAGGCAGTAGTTGGGCATATGTGAGAGACAATGTAACATGAGAGGATCAAACATTTGTGATTGTGTTCTACCTCTACACAGGGCCAGATTAACATAGGGGCTGATGGAGCTGCAGCTCCAGGCCCAGGCCCAGGCCCATGGAATAGGCCCATTTTTTTTACACACTATTCTTAGGTTTGCCACCTGACTGGTATTTTACTGGCACAGCCGGTATTTGAGGCTGCCTGGCCGTGCCGGTATTGCAGTAATACTGGCAATACAAATGCAGGTATTTTTCTCAGAATAAATGGAGATTACTCTGCAATACCAGCACCGGCCAGTAGGGGTCACTGTGTGTGGAGAGAGGCCGGGATAGGAAGTTACAGCATATCCCTGCCTCTCTCTACTACTCACTGATCCATGGGGGAGCAGCTACACAGCAGCTCAAGTAAGTGAGGGATGGGGGGAAAGGCAGCAGGGACACAGACACTAGGGGACACATGGGGACACTGAGACACTAGGGGACACTGAGACACTAGGACACATGGGGACACAGACACTGGGAGACCTGGGAACACTGAGACACTTGGGGACACTGGAAAACAAGGGGACTCTGAGACACTAGGGGACACTGGGACACATGGGGATGCTGAGACACATGGGGACACTGGGAGACATAGGGAGACACTGAGACATTGGGACATGGAAACACTATGTCCCCATGTCTCCCAGTGTCGCCATGTCCCCCAGCCAGTGTTCCTAGTGTCTCAGTGTCCCCAAGTCTCCCAGTGTCTGTGTCCCATGTCTCTCAGTGTGCCTAGTGTCCCCCAGTGTCCCTATATGTCCCAGTGTCCCCATGTCTATGTCCACAACTGTCCCCATGCCTCCCAGTGTCCCCAAGTGTCTGTCTCCCAGCCAGTGTCCCCTAGTCTCCCAGTGTCTGTGTTCCCATGTCTCTGTGTCCCCACATGTTTCAGTGTCCCCATGTCTCCCTGTGTCTGTGTCCCTAGTGTCTCAGTGTCCCCATTTCTCCCAGTTTCCCTAAATGTCTCAGTGTCCCCATGTCTCCCAGTGTCCCCATGTCTCTGTGTCCCCAGGTCTGTCAGTGTCCCCATGTCTCTCAGTGTACCGGGGTCTCTCAGTGTCCCCATGTCTCACTGTGTCCCCAGTATCCTAGTGACATGGGGACACAGAAAAAAACCAAGCAGTCTACTGACATCATCAGAAGTGGTGTCCTGATCCAATCACAATGCTTCCCTATAGGATTGGCTAAGACTGACAAGGAGGCAGATCAGGGGCAGAGCCAGCATGATTCAAACACAGCCCTGGCCAATCAGCATCTCATCATAAAAATTGAATCAATGCATCTCTATGAGGAAAGTTCAGTGTCTGCATGCAGAGGGTGGAGACACTGAATGGCAGTGCTGCACACTAGGCAGTACAGCCTCAGGAATCACCTCTAGCAGCCATCTAAAGAGTGGACAGTGGAGTTATTTTCTCTGAAAAGACAGTGTTTACTGCAAAAAGCCTGAATGGAATGATTCTACTTACCAGAACAAATACAATAAGCTGTAGTTGTTCTGGTGACTATAGTGTCCCTTTCAGTTTGGAAGCTTAAGAGAGATGTATGGGAACAAAACTTGTGTGGATTGGCTGACAATAAAATTAGTTTAGGTAATGCAGACGTTGGTCTCTCTAACACTGTGGCATGTCCCCTTTCTTCTACACTCACTTCATACACCTTTTCTCTGTCTTAGACTATATACCAGGAACTTCTGCCTGCTAGTAAGAAGGCAAGGAGACAAGTGGACCAGCGAGTGCTAGGGGACAGTCCTTAGAAAGCATGGAGTGTGCGCATCATTAGACGCATTTATGTCAAGCTCAGGGTGCTGCCTGCATAGTATGCCCTTAGTTGGACAGCCTGCATGATTGGCGGGCAGCCTGACATGCATTCATGCCAGGCTGTCCTTCAAATTCTTTGGACAGACATGCCCCCTTTTTGGGCATGTTCTCCCCTTTTGGCAGGTCTGGTCACGTGACTCGCACCAGTGGGCCACCCTTTTACCCCGCCCATTGACTTCCTGCTTCACTGGACACTGCTGTTAGGGGTTATGGATTTACTTGAAAGATGAAAGCATAAATTAGAGAGAGATTAGCATAGAGTATGTGTTTTCTTATGGCTGCATCCTATGAGTATCCCTCCAGCACCATCTCCATCAGATACATGATGCTTGGGAGGTATGACTGTTTTAGTGTTTTTGGTCGATAAGATTCCGTAATTAGGCCCATCATAATTGTCAGCACCAGGCCCGCTGTGCTCTTAATCCTGCCCTGCCTCTACATAGCCTTATATCCCAATAATGTTGGCTAACTTCATGTTCAGCCACTCTATAATTCACTGTTGGTGGGCAAGTGAGATCTAGAACATTGCATTTTACTAAGCACACATACATTCTTCTAGGTCGATCCACCTGGCCACAAAGTGGTGTTCTAAACCAGAATGGGTTCATCCAGAAACAAGACCCTTCTCCTCTGTGACCAGGAGTGCTGGGAACGCGTTAGGACTAGGACTGGCTCTGCATTGTCCATTGTACCGCAGTCTGCAGGGTGACAATACAAGATGGCTTGAGAGAGGCGTTGATCTGCTGTTCTCCATCTTGTTCCTAAAAATTCTGCTCTTTGTCCCATTACCAGCCTCATCCCCAGCGGTCTTCTATGCCTCCAACTTTTTGCGCCACTCTCTGTGCCCTTTGGCAGTCATTATTTTGGCCCCATTTATAAAGAAGAAGATTTGCTTTGGAAACACATCCAAGAAAGACTAATGTTCTGCAGACATCACATTCTGAGTTGTCATTTATTCAGGTTTGTTGGTTTTGATCTGGAATTTTCAAGAAATCTTCTCGCTCCACGTTATTTTAAAGAACAGTCAAGGTTTTTTTTTCTTTATTGTTCAAAAAAAAAACAGACATTAGAAAAGCCAGATATGTCCAGTGCCTCCATCTGAAAGTGAAGGTTTCAGTACAAATTTAGACTTCTGTCATTTCTACTGTCCTCTATTTTACAGAGCAAACCTTCCCCCGATTTCACAGTTTAGGCACTGCCCTGTTTATGGTCCTTGTGTCCTATGTTCTTCATGTACTTATTATGTCTCTAGCCAGTTGTCTGTTGTCCCTTATATCTCAGGGTATCTTTTTTGGGGGTCCTACCTTTTGTGCCTGTCTTCGTCATGCTCTGTTGCTTTGTGTCACCTTTCGATCAACATTTAGTTGATCCTCTGTGTGCATCCTCTACCCTCACCCCCCATTAAAGGAATGCTTTCAATCTCAATGAAGCTGGTATGGGAGCATGAGTGCCTGGGTTCCATCGTACCCTCAGGGATTAACCATTTTTCAATGGTTTAACCCTGAAGTTGGCCACCCAGTTAAACGTTGTGCACTCTGTACTCTCTTTTGAAGTTGAAAGCAAGAATTATAATATGGCATTGAATGACAGAAGGGCTCCCCTTGGGCCATGTGTCAAACACCCGATGGAGCAGTGTTTGTGCTGATTATTATATAGTATTTACTGTTAAGACCACATGGGAATGTTATGTAGTGTACTGTTAAAGGGACACTATGGGCACCCAGACCACGTCATCTCATTGAAATGGTCTGGGTGCAGTGTCCCTGTTCCCTTAACCCAGCAATGTAAAACCTTGTCGTTTTAGAGAAACAGCAATGTTTACATTGCAGGGTTAAGACGGCCTCTTGTGGCTGTATACCAGAGGAACACTATACTGTTAGGAATATAGTTTTATATTCCAAACACTATAGTGTTCCTTTAAGCAAAAACTTTTTTTTGGTAGCTTAGTCCATGTTTGGTTTTCTTGTTGTATATTTAAAGGACCACTCTAGGCACCCAGACCACTTCAGCTTAATGAAGTGGTCTGGGTGCCAGGTCCAGCTAGGGTTAACCCATTTTTTTTTATAAACATAGCAGTTTCAGAGAAACTGCTATGTTTATTTATGGGTTAAGCCTTCCCCCTAATCCTCTAGTGGCTGTCTCATTGACAGCCACTAGAGGCGCTTGCGTGCTTCTCACTGTGATTTTCACAGTGAGAGCACGCCAGCGTCCATATGAAAGCATTGTAAATGCTTTCCTATGCGACCGGCTGAATGCGCGCGCAGCTCTTGCCGCGCGTGCGCATTCAGCCGACTGGGCGGAACGGAGGAGGAGAGCTCCCCGCCCAGCGCTGGAAAAAGGTAAGTTTAAACCCCTTTCCCCTTTCCAGAGCCGGGCGGGAGGGGGACCCTCAGGGCACTATAGTGCCAGGAAAACGAGTATGTTTTCCTGGCACTATAGTGGTCCTTTAAAGGGGAGCAGTAAGTGTCATAACCAGTACACATTGTCGTGGTTATGATGCTATGAGTGCTTTCATCTGGTTTTCTGTCAAACTGTTTTTGAATATGGCTTTTGCCAGCACAGAAAGCTTCATTCCTCTGTAGCCTCTCAGTAATGAGATTCACTCGCATGTTATCCGTCCATAAATGTCCAGCCTTGAAAAGCATTGAAAGAATGAGATGACTCAACTTACCTACCCAAATATATATATGACAGGTCATGATTCCCTTTTATTCCAGAAGTTTGGTCTTTAAGGGGTTAAAAGCTTATTTTGTTGTACCACTTAGGGGAAGTAAGGACAGTGGGCAAGGGTAACTAACAGGGTTATTCACTGTCACTTTGCAGATTTAAAAAATCCAAATCTGGTCAGGATTCGGTCAGTCTGACCAATTCTCTGTCATTCATTTGGAAAGGTTCGGAAAATAAGTAATAATCTCCATGTTACTAAAAGGTCATGTCTCGTAAATGTTTAAAACTAATGACTGTAAAGCCTTTGCTGCCCAGTTGCTAGAAAAGGTCCTATCTCATGGGGATGGGGTCTGAGAAATAACTGGGGAGGAGGGGGGGAAATAACACAATTTGAGGGGGTGTACAATGTCATGTGCACCCCTCCTCCTTATTTAATTAATTAGAGCCCCAACCAACTCCTATGCGTGGGGCTGTTGGGAGGGGGGGGAGGGGGGGACACTATAGTCACCAGAACAACTACAGCTTATTGTATTTGTTCTGGTAAGTAGAATCAGTACCTTCAGGCCTTTTGCTGTAAACACTGTCTTTTTAGTGAAAATGCAGTGTTTACATTACAGCCTAGTGATAACTTCACTGGCCAGTCCTCAGATGTCTGTTAGAGATCAACAAAGGGCTGAAAGCATGGAACAAGATGAGAGGGGGAGAACAACAGTTAACAAGAGCCCACCTGCCTACATAACTTCTACTATGGTCCAAACCGAATCACCAACGGAAGGCCGTAGGAACACTGACAACAACGTGGCTCCTACGCTGCAAGCAAGTAATCACCCTCTATGGCCTGAAGCACCTTTCCTCACCACTGGACTGTATTTTGCCCACAGAGGGCATAGGCTGAACGAGGCTGCATGATGGGATTCTCGGCTAACAATTTTTCCCTCACCAATTAGAGTATTATTTCTTAGTTTATCGGTTAAATCTTTGCCTTGTTTAATCAACTCTCATGTACATGGTACAGCTGGTCCTGGCACTGTATTTGGGCCCAAAGCTTGGGGAGTCTGCTAATATCTTACTGGGCAGCCTCCTAGGGGGATAAAAACGACAGTCCCTTGACATCAGTCTTGTTACTCTCCTTCTTTATTATTTTTATTTTTACAACTGTTCCTCTCTAGTCTAGATTATTTTTTTCTAAAAATAGGCGTAGACCTTAATCTAAGTCTAGACAAGCCTGCCTACTTATACTCACTCATACAAATGTGCATGTCCTACTAATCTGTTTAGCATGTATAACACCTGTTTATTCTCAGATACCTCACTCGCATAGTCAGCCGGTATAGCCTGATTTTTTAATTTCTTTCGCATACTGTTGTCACACCACTGACTATTGCCTTGTTATTACTTGATGACCCTTATACAAAAATGTGCATTTATTTTCTATGCCACAACTGTTATGCTTTGTCAATTTCTATACATGCTACTGCTGTTGGGGCATGGCATTAATGCTTGTTATATTAACGCATGCACAAAAAATAAAGAATTATAAAAAAAATAAATAAAAAAAAAATCCTAAATACACCACTGGGATCAGGCCACCACTTCTGATGATGTCAGAGGAAGTTCACAGGCAGATGCAGATGCAGCCGCTTCAGACTTGAATACAAGTAAGATTTTACTATTTTTAGGGAGGCCAAGGGGGCTAGATAGTGGTTTTAACACTATAGGGTCAGGAATACATGTTTGTGTTCCTGACCGTATAGTGATCCTTTAATATTATGGCACCCACCCTCCACCAGTGCTTGATGGGTCGGGTTGTACACTAACTTCTCCCCCATGAATCTTACAACAGCCCCCCACCCACTCATGGGGGGGGCAGGGGAAACATAAGGATGTCCCCCTATTTTCTGCCCACCCCACTTACTTTTTTTTTTTTTTTAAAGTCCCCTAACCGCTGCTTACGAGTGGTGGTATGGGGGGACTATGTTTTTCTAGCGACTGGTCAGCAGTGTTTTAAATGTTTAGTAGATATGCCCTCGCTTGCCATTTAAATCCTCCTTTATAGTAATATGGGGTTCTGTGGCTCTCCCCCATAGACTTTTTTTATTTATTCAATTTTTTTTATGTGGCGGCTGGTGAGCAGGTGCTGCCAGTGGGCAAATAGTTTGAATTTTGTTTCATTTTTATGATTTCATGAATGCGGTTCGTATTTTAGCGGTCCAGCAGCGTATGATCCGACTGCAATAACAAAATCCGGACATTGTTGAATTCCATGAACAGTGTCAGAATTCTACAGTCCGAATGGCCCTATATGCAGCCAGATGGTTTTGCCCCATTCGGTATGCAGCAATTTGGACTTTATGAATAACCCAGTAGTTTTTAACAATATCATTATCTGATCAATGAAGATTGTTTAAGAACATTTGGTCAACATACATGGGTCCAACCAGGTGGCTCCACTGAGCTGCCTCACTTATTGGCTGAGAGCATCAACTGAACTCTCTCACCCAATGAGTGTGGCCCTGCATGGCCAAGCCAATCTTGGTGGCAGGAGCTTCTAGCAGCAGTGGTAAGTTGTCACTCCTGTAGGCTCTTGTGGTTATATTTCTTGGAGTGTTTAAATGGACACAATAGTCACCAGAAGAACTACAGCTTATTGAATTTATTCTGGTGAGCAGAATCATTACCGTCAGGCTTTTTGCTGTAAACACTGTCTTTTCAGAGAAAATGCAGTGTTTACATTACAGCCTAAGGATAACTGCACTGGCCACTCCTTAGATAGCTGTTAGAGATCCTTCCTGGGTCATGGCTGCCTAAAATGCATCCAAACATTCAGTGTCTCCTCCCTCTGCATGCAGACACTGAACTTTCCTCATAGAGATTCATTGATCCAATTCATCTCTATGAGGAGATGCTGATTGGCCAGGGCTGTGTTTGAATCATGCTGGCTCTGCCCCTGATCTGCCTCCTTGTCAGTCTTAGCCAATCCTATAGGGAAGCATTGTGATTGGATCAGGACACCACTTCTGATGATGTCAGTAGACTGCTTGGTTTTTTTCTGAGGCAAACAGCATGCAGAGTTACAGCTTCTGGCTTGAATACAATAAGATTTTACTATATTTATGGAGGCATGAGGGGCCCAGGAGGGCTAGATGGTGGTTTTAACACTATAGGATCAGGAATACATGTTTGTGTTCCTGACCCTATAGTGATCCTTTAACATGTGCCCATAAATCACTATTGTGCTGGGATTTATTAGATCAACCGTGCAGTGTTACAGAATGTTGTAGGAGAACTACTACCTGGATTATTACAAAAGATGGAAATCCAGGGGATGAGTCTATTGTAGTCTGGAGCGCACCTTTAACAATGAGAATTGTCACACATTTAAAGGGAACATACTTTAAACAATAATTTGTACATAGAGTTTATGGTTTATGAAAACTTTTACAGTTCTGTATTTTTATTTTTATTTAGAATTCCTATTAAATACCACTAAATTAACTGTACAGTGTGCATTTCTTATATTAACATCATCACACTGACATAATAAAAAGGGGAAAGAAAAGGGAAAAGAAAAAATAAGAAAAAACACAACTTTAGGACTTGAGACAAAAAGGACTAATAAATTAAGTAGTGAAATAAAATGGCTGCAACAAAGATCCCAAGTAAAAAATAACCTAAAAAAGGATATCAAACAAGATAAAGGAGTATCAGCCTACGTCTTTCCCCAAAATAAACAGGGAGGAGACAACTCGCTATCAGAAGAATCTCTACTGGAGGACAGGAGGAACTCAACGTTTAATCTGCAAGAATTTATCAAAATCAATCAAAACAACCAAACTGAAATGTCCAAAAAGGAAATCCATAATAGCACGTCAGCTAAAGCAACACATAGAGGAAATTGGTACAAAAATAACCAAGATTGAAGAATGGAGTCCCAATATAAGATAGTTACGGAGGTGCAAGAAAGAATGAAAAAGGATGTAAACATCTTGGAACAGAGATTAAATCCATTGGAAGACACTCAAAGAATAAAGAACATCAGATTGAAAAATATCACTGAATACATCACTTATGAAAATACAAAAGAATTTGTGTTGGAATTTCTTTTAGCATTAGATGTCAACCTACAGAATCAGGAATCGGTGATTGAAAACACGTATCGTGTTCGAAAACCACCAGGTATTCCAGAAACAAGCCCAAGAGATCTAGGTTTATATTATCTTCAAATAAAACACATTATCTAAGCAAGCAGAGTGAAGAAACTATCGGAAGGAAGATTTAAAAATATTGCAATATATCAGGACTTATCATCATATACAAGAATGTGGAGAAAAACATTTGCTACAGCCCTGACACCACTCAAATAGCATAATAGAAGATACCGCTGGGGGCCAAAGAAATCAATAACAGTGTTCTGGAAAGACACTAAGAAGATGTTTGTGGAACCAAGGGAGTTGGAGGAATGGGCAAAGGGACAGAGAAAGGTGAAAGAGAGAAAGTTTTCACAACTACGGAGTTAAAAGAGTATGAAGAAAAATATGGAGGACTATATGAGAAGAAGAGGAAAAAGAAAGAGGAAACCTAATTTATATGTTTTTTTCTCTCTCTCTATATAAATATATATATACGTAGGGATAAGGTAAATAGTGAGTAAGGAACACGCAAGATATATGATAAAAATCAAATGTGTATCACAAATATAACTAGGATATTATGGCACTAGAAAAAATGCAGAGGCATGCTACAAAATTAATAAAAGGAATGGAACATATCGGCTATGAAGAAAGGTTAACAAATTTAAACCTATTTAGTTTAGAAAAACGTTGCCTGAGACGGGATATGATAACATTATACAAATATATTCAGGGCCAATACAAACCATTGTGTGGAAATCTATTCACAAACCGGACTTTACATAGGACACGAAGTCATGCGTTTAGACTGGAAGAAAGAAGATTTAGTCTAAGGCAAAGGAAAGGTTTTTTTACTGTAAGAAAAGGATGTGGAATTCTCTGCCTGAGGAAGTGGTTTTATCAGAGTCCATACAGATGTTCAAACAGCAACTAGATGCATACTTGCAAAACAGAGTTTTCAAGGATATAATCTTTCAATGTAGGGTAATAACTGCTTGATCCAAGGATAAATCTGACTGCCATTCTGGGGTCAAGAAGGAATTTTTTCCCTAGCTTGTTGCAAAATTGTGCTTCAAACTGGTTTTTTTTGCCTTCTTTTGGATCAACAGCAAAAAACAAATGTGAGGAAGGCTGAACTTGATGGACGCAAGTCTCTTTTCAGCTATGTCACTATGTAACTAAAATAGATTTTAAGGGATAAGAGGGAGGAGGGGAAGGGAAGAAAATGAGAATAGATAAGGGCACAAAGTGTTCACAAATATGAGACACGATAAAAACTATATTTTGATTTAAAGGTTGTTTGAGGTAGAAAATAAATGTTTTAAACATCTTGTGTTTTAAAGATAATAATGGCTAATAATCAAGAAAGGTACACAACACCAAAGGCAATCCGGAATAGGTTTTAGAAATAATACTCTGTGTCACGAATGGGTGTGGTTAATTAAGGGTGATTATAAATTTATAGAAGTGTTAAGTCCGCTTTTTTATGCCTCCCCTCCTGTTGCTGTTTTCTTGTCCAGACCTGCAGATTTTGGGATTCTCTTTATATATTCTTTTTCTCTTTCTTTGGCCATAAAGGGTGGTAAAAGGTTTATGAATCATTTTTATTTAAACTGCTGGCCCATGTGCAGGCCCGGACTGGCCATCGGGCACACCGGGCAAATGCCCGGTGGGCCGCGGTGTCCGTGGGGCCGAGGCCGGCAGGGGAGGTCCCAGGATCTCCCCTGCCGGTCTATGCAGGGCCGGCACTATCCGAGCGCCGGCCCCGCTGTCTTCCATGGAGGGCCGATGGGGAGATCAAAGAGCTCCCTCACCGGCCCATTTAAACAGACCTGCGGCTGGGGAGGGAGGGAGAGGACCCGGCGGAGCTATTTCTTGCAGCTCCGCCGGGTTCCTCTCGCGAGATCCGGCGCGTTGCCATGGCAACGACCGGATCTCGCGAGAGTGAACTCTAGCCCGCAGGCTAGAGTTCACTCACCACTGGACCACCAGGGATGATGTGAGTGTGCCGGTCCCCCCTCCTCCCAGCTACCACCATGCCGGTCCCCCCTCCCAGGCTAAAGGTAAGTGGGAGGGGGGATTTAATGCCTACTTAGGTTTTTTTTTTTTAATTTCTTTATTTACCCCCACCCCCTTAGTTTTTTATTTACCCCCCCAACACACATTTACACACAGCACTCTCACACACATCATACACAGCACTCTCACACTCATCACACTCTGCACTCATCACACTCTGCACTCATCACACTCTGCACTCTCACACACATCATACACAGCACTCTCACACTCATCACACTCTGCACTCATCACACTCTGCACTCATCACACTCTGCACTCTCACACACATCATACACAGCACTCTCATACACAGCACTCTCACACTCATCACACTCTGCACTCTCACACACATCACACTCTGCACTCTCACACACATCACACTCTGCACTCTCATACACATCATACACAGCACTCTCATACACAGCACTCTCACACTCATCACACTCTGCACTCACACACAGCACTCTCACACTCATCACACTCTGCACTCTCACACACAGCACTCTCACACTCATCACACTCTGCACTCTCACACACAGCACTCTCACACTCATCACACTCTGCACTCTCACACACAGCACTCTCACACTCATCACACTCTGCACTCTTACACACATCATACACAGCACTCTTACACTCATCACACTCTGCACTCTCACACATCATACACAGCACTCTCATACACAGCACTCTCACACTCTGCACTCTCACACACATCATACACAGCACTCTCATACACAGCACTCTCACACTCTGCACTCTCACACACATCATACACAGCACTCTCACACTCTGCACTCTCACACACATCATACACAGCACTCTCATACACAGCACTCTCACACTCATCACACTCTGCACTCACACACAGCACACTCACACTCATCACACTCTGCACTCTCACACACAGCACTCTCACACTCATCACACTCTGCACTCTCACACACAGCACTCTCACACTCATCACACTCTGCACTCTCACACACAGCACACTCTGCACTCTTACACACATCATACACAGCACTCTCATACTCTGCACTATCATACACAGCACTCTCACACTCAGCACTCTCACACACATCATACACAGCACTCTCACACACATCATACACCGCACTCTCATACACACATCATACACAGCACTCTCACACTCAGCACTCTCACATGCATCATACACAGCACTCTCACATTCAGCACTCTCACACACATCATACACATCACTCTCACACACAGCATTCTCACACACATCACACTCTGCACTCTCACACACATCATACACAGCACCCACACACACAGCACCCTCACACAAATCAATCACATACAGCACCCACACACAGCACCCACACCTCACACACAGGATCCATCACACACACACATACTGCACTCCTCACATACACACACAACCCCCCGATACACTGCCTAACACACATACACAATACTTCCAAACATATTTATATAATATATATACACATATAAATATACACACAGCACCCCTCACACACACACACACACACACACACACACACACACACACACACACACAGCACCCCTAAACACATTTCATTCCAGACACACATTAGATCCTCTACCCAACTCTGGATCATCTACACACATACACACACTAGATCCCTATATACACTCTGAATCCATTATATACGCACGCTCACTAGATCTCCTATACATATTCTGGGTCCTTCAAACACACACACTCTGGATCCCCTATACGCACACTAGATTCCTTATAAGCAAACACATACTACATTCCCTGAACACACGCTCTCTACAAACACTACATCACCTACACACACACACTATAGCCTGTATACACACACTTGCTACATCCCCTAAACACACATTCTCTAAAGCCCCTAGCCACATATGCATTACATTACACCACAAACACAACACGACTAAAACCGACCTTACTACACAATACCACACCACGACCAGCTCACTCTGCACACACGCAATACCCCAAGCAGGCTCCAAAACACATGCACAATACTCTTTCCTGACCCATTTGTCTCCTGGTATCCATTTATAGAGACACCAGAGACAAGTTACAAGGAAACACAGTGCAAGCATGTTATTAAATTTGCTTGCACTGCGCAGAACAAATACAGGGCTTTTTTCTCATGCTAGAGCTCTTCAGCAGAACTCTGTGCATGGTCTGCCCTGGAAGAGCATTGAACCACCAT